GCGCCGGGCCCGCCGACGACGCGCCCTTGGCCGCGAGCAGCGCGCTCTTGGCGCCCTCCAGGAAGACCTGGTTGTGGACCGAGGTGCGCGCGGCGCCGCAAAAGGGCACGGCGCAGTCGGCAAAGCCCGGGAACTGCGTCACCCACTGGTACGCCTGGCAGGCGCCCATGCTCCAGCCCAGGACGCAGCGCGCGTGCCGGACGCCGAGGTGCTGCGTGACGAGGCGGTGCTGGGCGGCGACGTTGTCGCGGATGGTGACGGCGGGGAAGGGGCGGCGCGGCGTGTTGGACGGGCTGCTGGACTGGCCGTTGCCGAACATGGCGGGGATGATGATGAAGTACCTGCGGGGGCTGAGCGTCTTGTCCTCGCCGACGAGCCATTCGTTGTCGGATATGGCGCCGCTGAACCAGGACGGGTAGATGATGGCCGGGCGGGAGGGGTCGCCGATGGTCTTGTACGCGATGAAGGCGTTGGGGAGGGTCTCGCCGCTGACGAGCTTGAAGTCGCCGAGCTGGTAGGTTTGGTAGTCCATGGCGGGCTTTTGTCACGGACTCGAGTGTTTTTGGATGGTGAGTGAGCGACGAGTGCGGGGGAATATCGTGAGGGGGAGTGTTGCCGTCTAGGCTGGTGCCGAGTGACGTACTTGTGTTGGCTCACATACTGGTACACTGCTGTATTCTGTCGGCGATACCCTGCTCTGGTTAGATTTCTTGTCTGCCGCTGTAGCTATGCAAATTGTACGTGAGGAAGCTCATCTTGGGTTGGAGGAGCCTGCGAATGTACGGAGTACTTTGAGAGGAATTCATGTCTCTGTTCTTGATGCATGAAGGAATCGTCACGGATGTTGCACGAGACCCAAGGCGCAAGGCTCTCACCCACTTCTTGTATTAACAGAATATTTGGTCGTGTGCTTGGAGAAACCATGGACCTTTGATACAAAAGGCTATCATTAGATGAATTGCGTTGTTACTACAAGCTCTTTTATACCAAGACCTTGACAATGTACTGCCAGGCTGGGTGCGCCCAATAACAGTCTGATATTCAAGGTTTTTAGTTTGTCAAAGACTTGATAAACCAAAGAGCTTTGTTTATATCACAAGCTGGCAAGAGCCTTACACCCTGGGTCTCGTAATGGTAGCCCTCGTGTAACCGTGTGACAAGACATGGCCGAGTTTCTCAAACTCTCAACGCTCTGCAACGCCAGTCCTACTTTGCAAGAGCTGCCAATTTCCGGCAAAATTAGCCGGCTCTATAGTAGTATTCTAATGCCTTGTTAGCCGTCACTTTACGTGGTGTGATCCCCCTTCAGATTCCATTGATGGATAACCGCCCCCGGATTGTATATCTGAAGGATCCCCCCGTCGCTATTGCGCTTCAAACGCATGGGGCCATTACTGCATCATTGCGACGGGTTCCTAGCCATGGCGGCATTATTGTTCGGCGAAACTTACCTGCCGCACAATCCAACTCCTACGGCACAATCACCGACGGTAGTGCAGCGGAGACCGATGGCCAAGATTTGAAGGGATTGCACGGCTTCTTCACGATGCGCCAAGGTGCCATTTTTGTCATGGCCCCATTTTTTTGCGATTCCCATCCCTTTGATTGTGGGGTTGCGAGCCCCGCAACGCCCCGGCTGACAGCTGGCAGCCTGGAGTGACCCGTTGATCGCGTTGGGATTGTAGTATTTGGGAGGACTTTTATCACCACTTCATTTACTAGTAAATAAAAGTACCTTTTTAAATCTGGCTGCTTATTGGATATCCCTACAGATGATCAGGTACCTTTTTGGGCGGGTCCTGCAAGGCCATAACATATGTGATGTAGCTTCATGTAAACTCAAAAACTGTTGATACTTGTATTATATCAACTCTTGATAAGAAAATGTACCTTGGATTCAAGATTTTCCATTGCTTCACATCCTCGCTCGGTACGCAAGTGGCACCTTGGCGCTCAAAGGGATGCGAATATCAGGGACCGGCCAGACTCGCCGATTATTTATACCTCTGGCGTGCCCTCCTCGACTTTGCACCCAGCTCACACACTTTGTTCAACATCTTTATCCGCAAGCACTCCAACATCTAGCAAAATGAAGGCAACCATTACCCTGTCGACTTTCCTTATCAGCCTGGCATTGGCAAGCCCCGCGGTAGACCCCAGCGCGATAAACCATGTATCCAAGCGATGCCATACCGAAGCCTCTGCACTGGAAGAAGCGGGAAAAGCAGGATGTCCGTCTTCATACGCGTATTGCCCCCCCCTTGGCTGCTGCCAATGGGGATGCGTAAGTACTACTATGACATGAGTCTCGAATTTGATACCAATACCGTGTACTGAAATATTTGGCGGCTGCAGAGTGTGAGTAGTTTCCACGAGAATCCTGTCTATTACTTTGATTCGTTACTGACATGCTTGGCAACTACAGCAGGTAAATTGCTCTATACGAGGTTACATGACGAAACATTGGGATCAAGGTCTAACAAGCACGTATTTCAGATAGTGAGTAGTTTATCGGCGCATAAACCGCGTGGCTTTACAACTCTGGTGCTGACGTACTTAAGGCGGCAAGTCCCTAGCCCGGTATCCGACATAGAATGTGGTAATGCAGCCAATGCTAACAGGGTGTCTATAGACGGTAAGTGGCTCTCGTCTGAGACGGGCTGTACAAATTGATATGCGGTTCCAGGCTAAGCTGGTGGCTATATAGGGAGTGAGTAGTCTGCATACACCGCAACTTGGTAACAACTTATTAACATAATTTAGGCGGTAAGTCGTTGTTTGATAAGCAAGACTTGATATTCGAGTCGAATGCTAACGCAATTAACAACAGGGGGTAAGTAATAGGCTAATAGCCACTATACAACTTTGTCTATACCGAGCACTAACATTTGCAAAACTCAGTCGGTGAGTAGTCTATCCCGTAATCAGTACGCAATTCTATTCTAATACCAAGTCTTTCAACAATTATAGTCGGTAAGTGGTAGTCCTCTGGGTAAACGCATGTCCAGGCCTGGTGCTAATACGCTTGGATACTAGGGAGTAAGTGCTGCTTTGTCGATACCACACAACACTTCCATCTACTCTGACTAATATGAATATCAGGGAGTAAGTAACTACTGTCTAGCAATTTGACATCTAGATTCGGTACTAATAGACACGTTCACAACAGGGCGTAAGTATCCCATAATGTATTGCAAAACAGTTTATATATCTGGTGCTAATGCATGCGGCAACTTTAGGTTGTGAGTACTTTCCTCCTACATGGTCTAATACCAATATTTGGTACTAATACGCAAGGCGACTGTAGGGAGTAAGTAATCTGCGGTTTTGGGAGACAGCACCCCCATCAAGTCGTGCCCTCTACCCCGGGCCCAGTACATGGAATCGGACAAACAATCATCGTCTCTGACTGTACTGACGCTCGACATTTGAACCCAATGCTAATAATTGGCAACGGTAGATGGTATGTACCTGTTGCTTTGTAGAGCTGTCCATTAATATCAACATGCTGGTGCAATGCTAATAAAAATGCAACTCTAGACCGTAAGTTTTTTCGAAACGAGCTGCATACTCTAATGCCAAGTACTAATGCTATTGTGAATGGCAACTATAGACAGTAAGTGCTCTCCGCAGCAGCTGCAGCTTACGTATCGGGGTTGAGACTAACACGCTCTACAATACTAGTTTGTAAGCATATATTCAGGCGATACATGATTTGACATTTAGATATAATGCTAAGATCCACGGCAACTATAGAAAGCAAGTGCCCACTAATCATAGACTATGACTCTAGCTAGATTCATTGCTAATACAACAGGGATAGGCAGTAAGTAGTTGCCTGATACATTACACGACTTACTATCTAGGCCTATTACTCACATGCTTCGAAACCAGGGCGTAAGTCATCTCTCCACTTGATCGCGGCTTGCTATCCATGTTTCTCGTGCTAACATATATTGGAAACTAGGGAGTAAGTAGTTGTGCTTCGTGGGTCCAAATAACTAATATCTAGGATGAATGCTAATGCGCGTTACAACTCTAGTGTGTGAGTGGCCACCATGCGTCTACCACTAATGTCTGAATCAATGCTGATATGCGTGGCACCGTAGGCTACAAAGTCCAGGTACTGTGACTCGCAGCCGTATTCTCAGATCAAGAGCAGCTGATTACGCCCCTCGTGGATCAACAACTATCCTCGACTCGAAAAGTGTAGGCTTCGGTTCGCGTGGTTTTGAGAGGGATAGAGGGGGCAATGCGAAAGCTCGAGTCGTTGTATGGAGTTCTCCGATGGAGTTTAAGCTCGGCCGACTGAGAGCGGGTTTCTGTAACAGTACCAGGTCTATCGTATTTGAACACTGATTGATCAGGTTTCCTGGCCTGCCCACTGTGATGCAAAGTCGTAGAAATTCAACACGCATTACATGCACGTCTGTGGTTCAAGTGACTCTCGGTGGAGATGGACCCTCATCTTCCCCACGGTCCGGCATGCATGGGGGTCAGTGGGGCCACGTTACATTGCCGTAGCACCCCAGGCTGTTGAAGGCACTCCATGTCGTCTTGACATTGACGCTTGACCCCCACTCGACTTGGAAGCAGCCCTCAATCTTGGCTACGTCTGGCTGGATACAAAACCAATCCTTCAACATGCTGCACGGTTAGCTGTCATTTTGATGGTGCTATTCGTGCAAGTTGTCCAACTGTGGATACTGGGTAAATCTCGAAAAGAACATTTGCTCAAGAAACGACGAAACAGGAACAATGCCCCCGGCAGAGCAACGCAGGGCAGTGGGCCAGGTTCGACGTCCATCAACATGAACTTCCCCCGATCATGAGCATGGGTACTAACAGTCCCATAGCTCTTCGCAGTTGGCTTCTACGGGACCGAAATCAACAAAGAAATCAAGTCGCTCATCCAAGACTATGGCGTGGGTGCCATTGTCCTCTTCAAGCGCAACATCCAAGACGCCGCCCAGCTACAAGCTCTCTGCCTGGGCCTTCAAAAATTGGCCAGCGACGCCGGCCACGCCCAGCCTCTCCTTGTCGGGATTGACCAGGAAAACGGCCTCGTGACTCGCATTTCACCTCCAGTCGCGGCACAGCTGCCCGGGGCCATGACCCTGGGAGCAGCCGCCTCGTTCGAGAGCGCGTACCGCGTCGCCAAAGCCACGGGCAACACGCTGCGACATTTTGGCATCAACATGAACTACGCCCCGGTCGGCGACGTCAACAGCGAGCCGCTGAATCCCGTCATTGGAGTACGGAGTCCCGGCGACGACCCCGACAGAGTTGCCCGGTTTGCCGTCGAGTGTGCCAGGGGCCTGCGGGAGACCAGAGTCGCGCCCTGCATCAAGCACTTCCCGGGCCACGGCGACACGGCTGTGGATTCGCACTACGGCCTGCCCGTCGTCAACAAGACCAGAGAGGAGCTGGAGCGGCTCGAGCTGGTTCCCTTTCGCCGCGCGGCAGCAGAGGGCATCGAGATGGTCATGACTGCGCACATTGCTCTGCCCAAGCTGGGCGGCTCGCATCTGCCCGCCACCCTGTCCCCCGAGACCATCAAAATCCTGCGCGACGACGTCGGGTTCGAGGGCGTCATCATGACCGACTGTCTGGAAATGGACGCCGTCCGAGCCGGATGCGGGACGGTAGAGGGCGCGCTCATGGCGCTCCAGGCGGGAGTCGACAATGTCATGATTTGCCACTCGTACGACGCGCAAGCTGCTTCCATCGACCGCGTCTGCGAGGCCCTCCATGCCGGAGAGCTGTCCCAGGCACGGCTCGACGCGTCGCTCAAGCGGCTGCGCGACCTGAAGCATAAGTTCACGAGCTGGGACACGGCACTGGAGGTCCGGCCGCCGTCCGACCTGGCCAGCCTGAGCAAGGAGAACGAGGCCCTCGCTCGCGACATTTACGCCCGCGCCACCACGGTTGTCCGCTCAGAGGCAGGCCTCTTGCCCGTCTCCAGAACCGCCAGCACCGTGTTTGTCTCGCCGGCCGTCAACGTTGTGACCAGCGCCGCCGCGTCCAGCGGAGAGGAGGTGCACAAAACCCGCGTGCCCTGGGTTTCCGCCGCCCTTGTCGACAGCCTCCGCCGGTACAACCCTGCCATTGCCGACGTTCCCTTCGCAGACTCTTCCTTGACGCCAGAGCAGTGGAGGCAGGTCGAGGACGCGGGCGTGGTCATTCTGGCGACGAGAAATGCGAGGGAATCGCGGTACCAGCACGGCCTCGGACTGGAGATTGCCAAGAGACGGGCGGGCAAGACGCTCATCTCCGTGGCCACGTGTAATCCGTATGATTTCATCGACGACCAGGCCGAGGTGAGGAACTTTATTGCCTTGTATGAACCTACCCTGGAGGCATTTGCGTCGGCGGCCGACATTATCTACGGCGCGGCCACGGCTCGGGGTAAATTGCCCGTTGCTCACTAGATGAAGTCGAGGGGATTATAAAGGTTTACAAGACCTGATACCAAGGAGCGAGTTGTCCTAGGGGTAGGCAAAGCGGGCGAGAATGACCCCTCCGGGGGCCGCCTGCGGCGAGCTCCGGCCTGCGGCCGCTACTGTGGCCACTGTTGTTAGCTGTGGCCGTTGCTGCTGGTGGCGGCGTTTTCATGTTAATTATCACCAAAGGGTATAATTATCACGTCTGTGGCAGAGTCGTTTGCGGGCAGTAACCACCCACCGATTGCATTCACAACAGAGCACATGTTTAGAACACCATGCTTCGCAGAGATGTGTCTGGTGAAGCAGCGTGTATACCCGCTCTCATTTACCGTTGTTTTCTTGTAAATAGTTGGCTCTCAAACTTGACTCAAAGCCAACGCACACACGCGCAGTGATACGGTCGAGGTGAGGATGGTAGTGGCCAAAGGGGCCATGATGCAAAAGACGTTGAAATGGTGTATAAACGGGGCAACATTCATCTACGACAGACTTTAACATCACTGCAAGACTCGAGTTTCTTGTGTCTTTTATTTTCGTCCCTTGCCACAATCTGGGAACAACTCTTTCTCATGTGCGGCTGCACGTGGCTGCTAATTATCTCGATCCTAGCCTGCATCATGGCTCCATGGCTACGGTGTGTCAGTTGAAGCCACGACACAAAATTGTAATTCACGCCGACGGGCCCCCTTTCTGTCGGGTCGAGCTGCTGAAATCTTGCAACTCTGGGCCATTCTTGGCGTCAAGGGTGTGGAAGAGCACCAAAGTCACAATATTTGAACCTCTGCCGGTGGATCTTTGTGATGGTCCAACTAAGGTGTACCTGTATCAAAATACTTTTCCTGTTAACAACCAGTGTTATTGCGGGTTGTGCGCCGCGCTGGCAGCCCGCGTATAGTCTCTGGTACCGGCCGCTAGAACCGAAAGAACCCAAGGAATGAGTGATGGAGTGTTTGTCCGTTTGGGACCAGAGTGCACCAAAGATGGTGTCATGATGATGAAAGAGAAAGCTCACCAGGACCACCAGTGATTGCGGGCGCCAATAAGGAACACTTGGCTCCCGCTGCCATTCACAGGAAAGGCATCTACACGTACTCATAGTGGTGGCATAGCTGAGTTCCGGGAACGGGCTAACGAAGCCTGTGGCGTTTACTTTCGGATCGCAAACCACGTCCAACTAGCCATTCCAGTTTCCCATGCCGTTCGGTGTGGGACTCGGGCAACTTACGCTTGTTAAGCGGGACTTTTGCCACACCACACTCATGACCTACCGGTAGACTGCGTCAGTCAAACTCTTTGTTTAAAGGGGGTTATTGAACGCAGCTGAGAGCGCGGCTCGCCCTGGACCCGGGCTGCCCCTGGCATGCGTCTACAAGTATCTACTCACTCCCTTGAGAAGGTGCCAGTAGACATTGTCGATAAACTCAGCTCGACGATCCTCCAACGCTCATTGCGCCGAGCTAATAATACACACTCGCCGATTTATAGACGAAGCCTAAAAGCCTGCAGCACTACCAGCCCCATCTGAAGGACGTGAATTTCCTCCACCGCAACATCTTGGACCCAATCACATCTCCATCAGCATGGAGACCACGAATGATGGCCTCTCACCTGTCGAGAAGCTCCAAAGGTCCGGCGTACAAGCAGGGCAGATGGTGGTCTCGGGCGCGAAGCCAGAACAGTTTGCCGACATGATCAACTTTTTTGCCCGTCAACTGGCGGGAGAGCAGCACCGGGGACTCACCACCACGGCCTACATCTACAACGACATCACGAGACGGCGCTACGTGCTGCGCGTGACGCCACTCGCGGCCCCCCCGCCGCCCGGAAGTAACATCGGGGACATTAGTGCGCGTGATTACATGGATATTGTGATTACATTTGATACTTTGGATACGCTGAGTCGGCAGGTAAGCGATGTTATTTTTGTCGAGGGGCTTCAAGAGCGCTTTTTGGTCGAGGTCATGAGAGTGGCACATACACAGGCGTAGGGGGGAGTTTTGCGTATGTTGGGTGTCGGGATCGCCTCGATTGATATAACAGCATGCCGGGGCGTCTGAAACGCCAAAAACAAAGTTACAAAAGATGAGAGACTCTGAATCGTGATGCATTACGGAGTACCCGACGTCTAACCCGTCCCCCTTGTCACCGTTCGCAGCTCGGGGCACGTCAGTGGAGCTCCCGTCCCCGCTTCCAAATACGTACATGCACCAAATCGTCAGCCTCGAGCAAAACGCGTCTCCCGCAGCTCCGACGCGTAAAACACCAGTTGACCCATCTCCATCCTCAGCGCACCTTGACGGGCAAAACCTCCTCGACGCCAAACCACCGCTTCTCAGTCCCGCCTCAAACGAAAGCAACTCAATACAACCGCCAAACCCCCCCACGCTAGCTGCAACCATGGACGAAGGCGACGAAACACCACCGTCACCAGGCACCTTCCTCCCGCCCTCGGTCCACCGCGAAGCCCTCCTCGCCGGCTCATCATTCACGCACTTCTCGCCCGTCCCCCCCGCCCTCCTCACGCCCGCGTGCGCGTCGGACCCGTCGTCCCTCCCACCGCTCTGCCTGGGCGTCGACGAGGCCGGCCGCGGGCCCGTCCTCGGCCCCATGGTCTACGGCATATTCTACCTGCCGCTGCCGCAGTCGGGCCCCCTCCTCCGGGACACGCACCACTTTGACGACTCCAAGGCGCTCACGGCCGCCGCGCGCTCGTCGCTCATGCGCGCCCTCTGCACCGAGGGCACCGACCTCCACGCCCAGTGCGGCTGGGCCACCGCCGCCCTCTCCGCGCGCGACATCTCGGCCGGCATGCTCCGCCCCGCGGGCGTGTACAACCTCAACGCGCAGGCCGTCGACGCCACCGTCGCGCTCATCAGGGGCGCCCTCAAGCGCGGCCTCAACATCCGCGAGGTCTACGTCGACACCGTCGGCCAGCCGGCCGCGCACCAGGCCAGGCTGCAGCGCGTGTTCCCCACGACCAAGATCACCGTCGCCAAAAAGGCCGACAGCCTGTACCCCTGCGTGAGCGCGGCCTCGGTGTGCGCCAAGGTGACGAGGGACGCGGCCCTCGAGGCGCTGTACGGGGCGCGGCGGGACGGGGATGGGGACGGGGAAGGCGCGGCGGCGGGCATGGAATGGGGCTCCGGGTACCCCTCGGACGCGCGGTGCGTCGGCTGGCTCAGGAGGAATATGCACCCCGTGTTTGGCTGGGGTCCCGAGTGCAGGTTCAGCTGGGGGACGGCAAAGGACATGCTCGAGACCAAGGGCGGCGGCGTCAAGGTGGACTGGCCCGTGGAGGAAGAGGGCGGCGATTCTATGAGGGTGACGGATTTCTTTGTAGCCGGCCGTGGCGAGGAGACGGACGAGTTGGGGGGCTGGTATGGCTCGCCTGTTGGGCTCGAGGCGTTTTAAAGGGTTGGAAACTGCGTCTTTTTTTCTTTATTGAGGCAAGCAACGGCACACATAATTGACATGACGCATGATACCCGTTGCACCTTGGTTCCTGTGGATAGATGCCTGTTGAAGCTTTTTTTAAAAAAAAAGAAACTGCAACCTCTGTCGCAGACATTACCTCGCATATCCTACCCATGAAAACTACTCCACTCCCCCCCGTCGAAAGAAGCCCAACACAATCAATCCCTCCTCGTTTTGAAAACCCTTGGACCCTTGGGAAAAAAAGCTCAAATATCATCAACCTCCTCTGACGGCGATGCCTTTCTGCCCTGTCCGTCAAGGGTATCCATGCCGATGCTCTCGCGCTCGCTGTACGCAGGTGCAGAGGGGACGTTTAGAGCCGACCGCGCCGTCTCCGAGTTGGCGATGAAGTCACGCAGCTGCTGCTTGGCAATTTCGACGCCTTGGTTGACGGCCGCGTTGCTCATTTGCATCATCGGCCCCAGGAGGTTGAGCGTGTACGCGACGTACGTGCCGCCCGCGAGCATGACGAGGAAGATGAACAGGAAGGGGTTTCGCAAAACTTCAAGACTGGCGTCAGCATTGGACGTGGTTACTGTCCGAGAGCAGAATTGGACGTTGCTTACCCATAAAGATTTCGTTCCACCCCAACGCCAGCAGCAGCGCGTAAAAGGGCCACGGGATCTGAGCCACGCCTCCAATCGCACCGCGCTTGGCTTCCACGTAGACCCCGTCTGCCGTCTTCTTGAACCGGACAACCAGGTCCTGCCGTTTGCCCTCGCTCAGCACCGTCATCTCCTCCTCGAGGCTCTTGCCCTCGTCCTCGTCAACGCCGCCAATGGGGCTCAGATCCTCCTCGTCGCCCGCCTCCACGCCGGAGGGCTGGCCTCCGATAAAGCTCACCAGGTCCGGGGGCGCATATGTCGTCGAGAGACGGAACCTGGACAGGAGGGGGATGAGCGCGAGGGTCGACTCGCGCGCCTTGGTGTAGATGCCCTCGATGTCGTCGGTCGGCCGCCATATCCGAGGGACGCCCGCCTCGTCGTACCGGAACTTGTCCTCAAAGTTCTCGCGCAGCTTGAGCAGGATGTTGCCCTCCATGACCTCCTCCTCAATCTTGTCGCGGAGCCCCACCCAGCTCTTGCGACGCAGCCGCCACATGCCAACCTCGGCTTCGTCGTCGCTGGCGTCAAAGCTCCTGGCACGGTCGGCGAAGCGGCCCTCGGCCTCCCTGACGATGCCGGTAAAGACGCTCCAGACGCGGTCCCAGAGATCCTTCTCGTCGGGCTTGTCCCCAGTCTCGGGAGCGCCCGTGCCTCCTCGCCCCGAGCCGAGCTTGTTGAACTCGAGTCCGACGGCCTCTCCGAGGCGGGACTTGACCCAGCGCTCGACCCTGGTCGCGAGCCGCCGCATCTCTTCCTTGCGCAGCCTTCCGCTGACCTCGTCGAGCTCGGCTTCAAACAGCTGACACTGGGGCTTGAAGTCGGTCCACGGGAGGCCCTCGATGGCGAGCCCCTGCGCCTCAGTCTTGAAGATGTCCAGCGTCTTCCTCTTCTCGCCGGCGACAATCTCGGCAAACTCGTAGCCGCCCCCCGCCTTTTGCCCGGCCTTGACCTTGCTGGAGACGGCATCGCTGAACGCACCGACGCCGGCCTTGTGCGCGGCCGCCAGCTGGCCCACGTACAGCGCCCTGAGTCTCGCGTCGACCTTGGCCTCCAGCTCCTGTCTCTTGCGCGCATACACCCCCTTGTGGTACCGGCTGGCCTGCGTCTCAAAGGCGCGCAGGAGCGCTTCCCGGGCATCACTGCCGACGCCGCCGAGGTCTGGGAGGACCAACGTCTTTCCGAGCCTGGTCGCCTCGCCTTGCTGCTCTTCGAGGGGGGCCACGACGAGGTCAAACGCCACCAAGACTTGGCGCGAGATTTCGTCGCATCGAAACTGCGCCAGCAGCTCCTGCTGGGTGGGCAGGTCGAGGTCCTTGTTGTTCACAATCTGGTCCCAGACGCCCTCGGCGTAGACTGAAAAGCCGTCGGCAGGGATCCTGCGGTGGTACTCGGCAAGGAAAACCCCGCCCTCGAGCTCGTGGTCGCCGCCCTTGTTGCCCCTGTGGCCGGCCGCAAATCGCGAACCAAGCTTGTCGACCTCGCCGGCAAACTTGTCGGCCTGCAGAATCTTGTGGGGCAGCGCGGCGAATCCAAAGTCAAAGTAGTCTTCGATTCGGGAGCCCTCGAGGCCCGGGGGCTTGGAGATGGTGGACCAAATCTTGGTCAGGTCCTGTATCAATGTGGTGCGGAGGTTGGCCAGCGGAGTCGTGCCGAGGTGGTCTCGGATGACGAAGAAGAGCAGCGATCGCGGTGTTGACCTGTCAAGTACGACTTAGCGGGCAATTACTCGCTGCCATGGTGCGGACGCAAAAGGCATACTGCTTATCCTTGAGAAATAGCTGCAGGTTGACCTCGAAGACGGTCTTGAGCAGGCCCATGTTTGCCCCCTGGTACAACCCCACCTGATGCTCCCAGATGTTGACAATCAGGACCTCGCTGGTGGCCAGGGCGAAGAGCGCGCTCTTTCTCTCAAAGTCCTGGTCCTCGCCGCGCTCGCGACCGTCGGTCCCCTCGACGTCCATGACGAGAATGTTGTCGGCCATCTTTGCGCCGCCGCTCTCCCCGCGCTTGTTCTTGGACATCCAGATGCCCTTTGTCGTCTGCCGACGCTCCGTCTCGGACATGACGGAGAAGTCGGTGCCAAAGAGACTGTTCAAGAGGGTCGACTTGCCGGTGGACTGGGAGCCAAACACGGAAATCAGGTGGTAGTTGAAGCCCGAGTCGGCGACGTTTGTCACCTGCAGGTAGTCGTCGAGGTTCTCACTGCGCTCGTTAGCGGCCGCCACGGACCGTGCTGCGGGCATTTCAGCCAATGGCCAGACGTGCGTACTTGAATTCCTTGTCCTCGTCAATCACTTGGACGCCGTGCTCGTAGCTTCCGCCGGCGGGCTTGTCGCCCACGGCAGAAAAGTGGCCGTTCATCGTGTCAATACGCAAAGCTCCAGGGGCCGAGAAGCAACCATGAGCTCAAAGCAAAAGAGGCGAAAGGGGAGGGCCGAGAAGAGGAGAAATGATGACGCGCGAAGCAGGAGGCAGATTGGAGTTTCGAATGGGCCGAGGGATGCATAAAGTCTGGGGAAGAGAAGCTGGGAAGCTGAGAAGTTGGAGATGGGATGGTTTCGCACGTGCGACCCGTCGAGCGCCTGGCCCTTTTGGTCTGGTGTCTGTGGTCAGTCGCACTCGGCACTCACGCCATGCCGTTTCCAGCAGCCAGTCAGTGAAACATGCCGGGATGGCTGGGAGGCTGGAGCTCTAGCCCTCGGGTCCATTCATCCCCTGTCGCCCCCGGACACCGGACCGCCTTATTTTTCCGCCTCCGGACCAAGACACCTGGCCTGCACTCTGTCAGTTCGGCGTACAGTACGCGCCGCTCACTCACGCACCGTCAAGCGAGCCATCGTCGGCGGGGCCTTGAGCTCGATTCACTCAACTTGAAGCTGAATGTATTCGCAACAAGTCAACTGGTCTCTTCTAAACAGAGTATACACATCAAGGTCAACTCAGCATGCTGATTCAAGAATCCCACGTCGACGTGCCCACGTCTGCCAATGGCAAGAACAGCACCATGCGTTCGTGCCCCCCTCACCAAAAAGCTTCCGGTCCCTCCGCCAGACATTCGCTCACCAACTATACCAGGCATTTTTGTATTTCACCCGGTCATTGCAGGCTACCCAAGGGCGTAAGATCTCTCTACTATATCTGCAGGCCTCATCAAGTCAACGCCCAGCAGCTCACCGTGCTCAGTCGGTTCCCTGGTGTCTGCCTCTTCAGCGAAATTTACCAAGGTACTCGAGTCCCCGGCCCATTCAGATGCTCCAGAATCTGACCCGTGCATGGCAGTGACTGGACCAGTCGCTCGGTTTGCTCGCCAGATAGCCGGGCAAGGATACATTGTCGCGGCACCATCCTCTTACCATGACTTTGTTGGGCCGGAACCTCTCAAGTACGACGTGGAAGACACGGACCGAGGCAACAAATTCAAGATTGAAAAGGTAAGCTTTGTGATACTCTCTTTTAACCCTACAGACCTGCGCCGTCCAACTGATGGCTCAGACTCTCGAGTCCTACGATGCCGACTCCCACGCAACAGTCGACTACCTCCTCTCACTCCCAACATGCACCGGCCTCATCGGCTCAACCGGCATGTGTCTAGGCGGCCACCTCGCCGTCCGAGCTGCCGTACGTTTACCACAAACCTTTACTGTTTGGAGCTTTGTCTTGTCTAACACCTCCCAGCTTGACCCCCGCATCACCGCCTGCGTATCCTACTTTGCCACAGACATTCACAGCCGCACCCTCGGCCCCTACACTGCTGCAAACTCATCCCCCTCTGCCCCCGCAAACTCCAACCACACAATAGACCACCTTTCCAGGCTGGGGGGAGAAGTAGCAATGATCTTTGGTATCAAAGACACCCACGTCCCCGACCAAGGTCGCGACCTGATTCGCAGCAAACTCCGTGATGCGGGCTGCGTTTTTAGCTTTCACGAATTCGCCTGGGCCCAGCATGCTTTTATACGGGACGAGTTGAGCAAAGGGAGATATGACCCGGCCGTTACCAAGATTTGCTTTGAGATTTTGCTGGAATTGTTTGGAAGGGTGTTGAAGACTGATCTTGGTCAGAAGGATGGGAATGTTGCGCCGCCAGAACACGTTTGCTAAAGGCCTTTACCCTGAAATAAAACTGTAAAAAAATGAGACTTTATTCGAGTATCCCCACCCCGTTAATCTGTCTTGCAGCTTGGCACTTTGCGACTGTTGCTTTAACCCTTCGTAGTTGCCCACCCACAGCTGGGAACATTTAGAGGACGAATGGCCGACGCAGGTCCTTGCGAAGGAGAAAGCTGATGCCAACACTCCAGTTAAAGCAGTTCTTGGTGGCTGTTTAAACCCGTGAATGCTTGCCGACTTTGGCCGGGCGGGCATTAGCAGCGCCGTTTCTGTGGCGTTCAAGTCAGTTCACAATGTATTACGGCGAAATGAATGCAGTGAGCATTGACTAACCGAAATGACTTTCCAACATGTACAGTAGTTCTAAAAAATCACTCAGTCAATCAGCTGAGAGCCGTGTCCGCGTGGCAAGTCAGGGGATCGAAATACAGCTAGCTCTATATTATCAATTGATCGTTTTATATTTCAGCTGCACCTTAAGCCTGGCAGCTAACTAAATTACTTGACTATACTAAATTCTTTAAATATTATAATACGAGGTATTTTTTCCATCTAATTAGTCGTAAATTTAATACTTTAACGTAAAGGTAATACTATTATAAACTAATATGCGATAGTTTTATATTCAAGTTATCACTTTGACCATCAGGATAGCATCTCCAAGGATACCGTCGGACCGTCTGGCATCTGGATTGTCAAATTCACTGCAACCAACGTCTTTAAAACCTAATCCTGCCGGCCGTCGTCGCATTATTTGTACGCCAAGCCAGTCCTGCATCAAGCTAGCCGAAAGCACACATTCCGCGGCATCGTGAGAGGTTTACCTAACTCGGACCCATTTCATGTAACAGCCGGGACCCTCTGAATGGTCAGTTGGTGTTTCCTTTATGGAAAGGTTGAGTCGGAGGCTCGCCAATATTGGGCTCTTTCTCCAGTGCCGACTCCACACAACGGGATACTGTCATGCATACGGCTTTGATATTTCAGCCGTCTGGGCTTGGTTTTGATCCTGCCCGGCACGGCAGTTTACTACTTCCCAATTAGTCGACAGTACGACATGTTCCAGTCAACCGATAGGGGAGATGCGAATATATAAATCCCTGCACGAGCCCGAACCTGCATGATGGTCGAGCCACCAACTCGAGACATCACTTTTTGAATTTATTCCCTCTCATCCGTCTCATAAATCCCGAACCCCTCATCATGGCTGCCAAAGACGGTGCCCGCTTCGACTTTATTGTCGTCGGTGGCGGCACGGCTGGCAACATTGTTGCCACTCGTCTGGCCGAAAACCCCAACGCAAGGATTCTGGTTGTTGAAGCTGGCATTGGCAGCTCTATTAACAATGAAGAGATCCGAACCCCCGGGTTGGCCATGGAAATTCGAGGCAGCCAGTACGACTGGGCCTACAAGACGACCATGGTCAAGCGCGACGACTACGAACGTATCGAGAAGCCCAACACCCGTGGCAAGGCCCTCGGTGGCAGCTCGTCCCTCAACTACTTCTCATGGGTGCCAGGATCCAAAGGAACATTCGACATGTGGGAGGAGTACGGAGGAAAGGAGTGGACCTGGGACCCCCTGGTGCCCTACCTTCGCAAGAGCGTCACGTATCATGATGATGCCGGCCTGTACTCCAAGGAGCTTCACAAGATTGGCTCGGGCGGTCCCATTCCCATTGCCCACGCTGACTTGATGCCGGAAATGAAGCCCTTTCGCGACCTCTTGGCAAGGGCCTGGCAGTCCACGGGCGAGCCGCTCACGGAAAACATCTTTGACGGCGAGATGCGCGGCTTGGTCCACAGCGTCAACACCATCTACAAGGGCCGCCGGTCTGGAAGTTTCCTCGCCGTCGCCGGCAAGCCCAACATTACCATCCTCCCAGAGGTCCACACCAAGAAGCTCATCATCGATGACGCTGATCGCACCGCCAGGGGCGTAACCGTCATTGCTGCCTCCGGCCAAGAGCTGAGCTTCTACGCCACCCGCGAAGTCATCGTCTCCGAGGGCGTCTTTGAATCCCCAAAGCTCCTCATGCTGAGCGGCATTGGACCTGCGCCGGAGCTGGCCAGGCACGGTATCCCTTTGCTTGTTGACTCGCGCCACGTCGGCCAGCATTTGCTCGACCACCCCGGCGTCCCCTTTTGCCTCCGGCTCAAGGACAGCTACTCCATGGACAACCACGTCCTGCGAAAGGGCCCTCTGCGTGACAAAGTCCTGTCCGCTTACGCAAAGGGCCACGCCGGCGCCATGGGATCGCCATTCCTCGAGATGATTGGCTTCCCCCGCATTGACGAGTACCTGGAGAAGTCTCCCGAGTACCGCAAAGCAAAGGCGGCCAACAACGGCCAGGATCCCTTTTGTCCATACGGCCAGCCTCACTTTGAGCTCGACTTTATCCCCCTGTTTAGCAGCGCCTTCCAGTGGCACTTTCCTCATCCCAACAAGGGGAGCTACATGACCGTCATGGTCGACCTGGTGCGGCCCGTCTCTGAGGGCGGCGAGATCACCCTCAACAGCGCCGATCCTCTGCAGCAGGCCAATATCAACCTCAACTACTTTAACGACGATCTGGACATTATTGCCGTCCGCGAGGGCATCCGGTACGCGTACGACGTTTTGAAAAATGGCGACGGCTTCAAGGACATTGTCGAGGACGAGTACCCCTGGGAGATGCCGCTGCACGACGACGAGGCCATGAAGAGAACCGTCCTCGACCGCTGCCAGACCTCGTTCCACCCCTGTGGCACTGCTCGTCTGTCCAAGAATATCGAGCAGGGCGTTGTCGACCCTAACCTTAAGGTCCACGGAATCAAGAATCTCCGTGTCATTGACGCGTCTGTCATTCCCGTGATTCCCGACTGCCGAATTCAAAACTCGGTTTACATGGTTGCTGAGAAGGGCGCTGATGCCATCAAGCGCGACCACCGAGACCTTTATCTGTAGTGTGGTGGGCGGTGGACGGTGGTAGGAAAGAATGATGTTTGGTAATTCACCATGTTTGGCTGTGTGCTATAATGGAACTTGTTTTCCGGCATCGACACTTCCATGCTGGTGGCCATGAACCGTGTCAGGTCCAAGTTTCTGCTAAGCGTAACAAAGATTTTGAGATTAGGCTACGTTCCACCTGACTGACCTAATGTGATGGAAAAATAAGCATCAAAATTAAAATAAAAGCAAAATCTTGTATATTGTGATCTATCAACGAGCTTCACACACTTGTGTTCGTCCGACTCCCTCTTATGTGTGTGACCACAATAGAGAACCCGGACTGTTTGTGAGGGACCGCGGAAGAGAGCTACAGCGAGGTCACAATAGCTCGTGATGCAGCTGACAAGTTGTATTGCAAGAGAGCTAAAAGAAGTGAAGAGCTTAATCATGTGTGTAAGGAAAAGGGCTAGTTAGAAAGTGCCAGCGTAGCAACAGCAATATGGTGCCTCCCACGTGACTGTGTGGGCCCTAACACTGTTCCACCATAGAATTACACCTCGGACTTGTCGCACAATGGGTGATGGCATCGTATATCTACAAGGAAATCCCGGTCTTTTCCTTTGTTTTGCCATTGCCGGATACATTCAGCGGGAAGAACTACACCAGCTCCAAACTGTATCCCGGCCCTTGGGCGCAAAGGACGCGAGAGAGAAAGTGCCGCCAGAAGCATAACCTCGTCGCCCGTGCCATGGGATCCCATCATAGCGCGAATGGGCATCAGGTGCGATCCGGACAAATGCAGCGTTGTGTCCATTGACACCATGTCGGTGGCCCGAAAGCATTCTATGCCATTGGCGTCAAGCCCCTTGGTAATGCCAACGGTGCGATGCATCCATGTTTGTACCATGACAGTTTGAATTTGTTTGCAGTCGTTTTCGTCCAAAACTAACAGTCTGTTTCCCCTGTCCTGGGGCCCAATGCCCACGAAACCTTCCAGCTTATGAACCAAGTCGCCAATTCGCTTTGCAAGCCGGGTCTGGATAGAAACTATGCCACCAGTAGCTACATCTGCGCAGAGATGGTTTCTGTGACTGGCATTGACGCCTTTTCTGAACCCATGCATGGACGCACAGTGCCATGCCGCGAGTGCCAACCAGAGACCTCCCTGCGCAATCAGCTCATGGGGCATCTGGACACGCGTCACAATCTTGGAAGCCAAGGTTCGCAAGTGCTGGACCTTGTCTGCGTCGGACCTTTCTTGCCAGAGTGCACTTTTGCGGTCAATGAAGTCGACCCCTTCATGCACAATGACGGCAAGTCGGGTCATGGCCCTTTTAGCGGACAAGCTGACCCCCGGAAGTGTGATGCCAGTTGCGAGGAACCAAGCAGGAAGAAATTGGTACTGAAATAGCGGCAACAAGTCCAACAATAGCTCCTGTCCGGCCCCTGGCTCCAGCGAGAATAGTCGAACATCGTCGTCACACACGCGGGCACACTTCATGGCTTCCAACTGTGACATGTTCGACTGGAAGATGGCGTAGTCTGTCAGAAAACACGAAAGCATGTCGTCCACATTCATTCCGTCAAAGTTGGCAAAGAGGTCCACCAGAAACGCGATGGCTTGGTCGTTGTCGACTCGACGACGGGGCAATTTACGAAGCCTTGATGTCTCTGGCGCCAAGACTGTAATTCCCATCGTGGGTGTTGATGTTTGCCACAAGTAAGAAACAGCTCTGTCCACTTCCCATTGCGATGTCTGCTCGGGTTCGCGAACAATCCGTCCATATTCCCACAAATGCGCCTCCCGACGACGGCTAATGACAATTGCACCAAGATTGTGAATTTCCATGGGAATTTGACTAGTCTCTGTGCAAAAGAATACCGTCGGCGGCACGTCCGGATTAACGGGCTTAATCTCAGGCGCAATGAATCGCCCACGAAACGGTCACCGTTGAACAGTTGATTGACTTTTACTCCCCTTCCAGCCAAGTCTGCGACAATGTCACGGGCCTCATCGGGGTGGCAGAAAACAATTGATGTCTTTCGTCTGTAGGCATGCTCCTTGACCAGCTTCACGGCCTCGTCGACAGACTCTGGATCTGTCCAGGACAATCGTGTCGGGGCGGCGCGGGCAGTTCGGATCTGGGCAGGGGGTTCCACCAGCGAAATAGTGAGATTTGGGCAAAAGTATTCCAAAGCCCTCTGGATGGACTCTTCTGGCTCTTCAAAGGAAGACAGTGTCAAGAGACGAAGACGGGTATTGGATGTCGGGTTGGCTGCCCACTTGACCAACTCGAGGATGCTCAAGGCGAATGATGCGGAATAATGCTGGTCGATTTGCGCCACTATGGTGACACTGGCTTGCTCCCATAACTTGTAGGCACGGGGGTTTCGTAGCTGTCGCAAAAGGGAAGCATAGTCGCAAATATCGGGCATGGTAGCTCTGGGGACGAGAGCCGGGCGATGGGTCAACTCGGCTGATATGACTCGACTCTCGGCGTCATCCGCCACGACGTAAATGGTAACATTACCCTGTCGAGGCATGCCGATCTCCTCAAACACGAGCTGGACTTGGTCGTATGGTGCGAGGTTTGTCGGTTTGCAGTGGCCAAAGACCACGCTATTGGGTTGTTTGACCCAGTCGGCAATGGTAAGCTGCTGCTAGTTAGTGAAATTGGTATTCTAGAGTCAAGAATAACGACACACCTTGGACATCCTAAACTTATCGATGATGGCGATGTCAATGAAAATGTTGTGAAGGTGTCAAAAATGAAAGGGTGCGAGTTTGTTATGTATTTTCCAAGATTTTTTGTTTGCTCTCGGCTAAAGTGGGTTGGTTGGCGTGACCTGTTCAACTTCATTTCACGTTGAGCTCACTATGAGCAGTGAATGGTTTGACCCCTGGACAGCCAGTGAATGGACGCCAGCCCGTGTCAAATGTCTTGGTTTATTCGTTTCAAAACGGGGATCCCGTTGAAACTCACAACAACCGGCGCCAAAGTCAGAGTGAGAAAATTGTGTTTTGATGGCATTAGAGTAGGCTCTATATTAAGGTTTGCTGACTGACTACTAAAGTCAACAATGCGTCTGGTGCAAATCAAAAATGATCACAGAGCTCTGTCGCCCTCTTCCGTCGACAAATAATCCATTCCTTCCAGATCACACGAATGTAGCCGTCACTGCTGCTTCTAGTCTCGTTCGCGCTTCACATTTTGCCCCTTGTTGAGAAAGGCAGAGAACTTGTCAAATTCCTCGTTATAAGTTCTTAGGTCCGCCCTCTTGAAGACCTCTGGAAATGGAGGATCAGACTTTGGCGGCATGCGAGAGTAGACGTACAATGCAAAAAAGGTGTCCCCGTTTTGCATATCTGCCATTCTCCAGCTGGGTGTCGCGTACGCGGGCATCTTTGCGTTTGGAATGTTCATGTTGCCCATCTCATCGTAGACCCGGATTGTATCGCAGTCATCAGCACTGTTCCTGTGCTTGACGAGGGCAATGAGGGTGTAGGGCATGCGTCCTGTTCGCTGCCAACGCATGGTTCCATTCACGTCGACAAACTTGCCAACTTCAAGGGTGAAACGGCGAAAAGCATCAAAATTCAAATTTTCTTCTCCGACGCCCTTTACTGTGAATGTTACGTAAAGGAAAACCGGCGCGTCTGGACGGACCAAGAGGGTGGAGTCACCAACGGAGAATTCCCCAAACAGTTTGTTCACCTTAACGTCCAAGCTCATTCCTGGGAATGCATCAAGGCGAATAGAGTCAGGGTTCGGTGTCGAATTCCACTTTTCAAAGTAATTCTTTACCTCAGGGGGTGTCGATTCAGCCTGGAGTCGACGCCATTGGTGAGTGTTCTGCTGCGACCAGAGGTGCCCCAGCATGGGAGTGAATTGCTTCATGGACCAAAGGGTCGTCTGCATTCGGGCGTGGCTTGCGAGGTTCTTGAATTGGAGGTCTTCTACTGCAATGTCCCCGAGTTCCTTCCCCCATATTTGGACGGTGAGTTTATCCAAGGCAGCGCCAACGTCTTTCGTCTTCGGTCCGAGGACCAACCAGGCATGGGCCATGAACGGGTTATCAGCTTCCATTTGCTTCACAGACTCGTCGTCCTCGTTCCACAATGGATCAAGCACGGCGCCGTAGATTCGTTTAAGTAGCACGATTAGGCAGTTGATGCCCGATGTGGCGGGACCACGGTCATGGTCACCAGTTGGCCAAAATCTGACAAGCAGGTCTGTCTTTTGCTCTTGAGGCAAGTTTCCATGCACTCGGCGAACGTCGTAACATGGAGTTAGCAGGGCCCTTTGGCGTAAATTCTGCGCAAAGGGGTTCATCGGTCGGTTTGCCATGGCTAATAAGAGAATTCAGCGAGTAAGTCAAGCATTCTGGTCTTAATGTCTTACCTTGGTGAATTTTCGAGGCTGTGCTCTGACTCTTGCTGGTAGAAGCGTGGTGTGTGAGGTGAAAAAGTCCTCACGCGTCGGCGGTTAAATGTTTTGTTTGTCGCTTGGCCGTCGCTTGCTCAGTCCACGTGCGTCTCTAATAGTTTCGACGAGGTCCTCTTCTGTCCTCTTGACTTTTGCAGGTGCAATATACTGATCACATTTGCCTCTACAGCTTCGATTGCTTTTATTTGAGGCCTTTGCATTGGAGACAGTGTCCCTGGATTTCAACCCTTGATCTTGGCAGATATTAGCTGCGTTTAGCGATAATCTTAGGCACACTTATCTAAGCGCATTAAATGAACAATTAGTACACGCACACACCAGATCATACGTATAATTCAAGAATATTGCTCACACATAACTGAATGCCATGGACAAGGATCCCGTCACATATTAGGATGGAATTGACAACGCAAGAAAGATGATTTAATAGCTTACTCCGAACTTCCAAACACTAGTCATGAACACAACAGAGTCTGGTTGATGTTTCCAGATCAGGCACCATGGACAATATCGTTGGTTGCGGACTTAACCCTGCAACGCACCCAAAAATAACCTTTGACAATTTCGAGCTCGAGGTCACTATGAAAATGGACTTCGAAGCTGTGCACTGTCACGCTGACTCTACCGGCAAGCTAAACATAGAGAGGTGTAGTGTTCTACTGAAACGCAACATACTGAAGTTGAAAATACATGCGGTTGGTGGAAGCAAGACGGAAAGGGGGTGGTTGGCGGCGCTTTACCTTGGTAAAACTCTTCAGATACTGTAGATGGAAGCAAAATTCCTTCAAAACAGGCAACAAAGCAATCATGTATTTATCTCAAGCACTAAACGATAGAATACCTCCCCCCATCGTGGACTTCGCAGACAACTTGGACAGCTGGCGACACAGAGATTCTGACTTGGAAGCTCGAAGCAAGCCTTCCAGTCTCTCTGTGGGGAAAACGAAATGTCGAAGGTCCTACACTCATTGTGTGGGAATCCGGACCAGGTAGGCCAGTGTAGCAAATCTTCGTTGCCCATAATGGTCGTCTATGCCAACCTCATTGCCACTTCCGACTCGACTTCATCGTCCCCTCGTCCCAGAGCACGCGGACGGAGCTGTGGGATCAACTTTAGGCACCGGCCCGGCATCCCATGCCTTCAGGTACATTGTAGTGTACGCAATATCGGCTGGCCCAGTCGTCTAGGCTAGACAGTGTCTCTCATCCAGCTCCTAAAAGTCCATTCCGATCTTCTTACAAAATATGCTCATCATTTTAAACTGAATAATGGTTTTTCAAGAATGGGGACCCGCGGAGTCGACGCCTAAATATTCTCCTTGTAAAGCTCCGATCTCATGTTGTGGAAGAGACACCACACCGTTTCAGTGGACCACAAAGGGAAGGGTGCGAGCACCTCTGCCAGCACAATCATTGTGAGCGGCATGTTTATAATGTCTCCTGGTTGCCAAATGGAAAGCTCCTCAGGATTTTCCTTGGCCTGTTTCAAAACGTCCTTCTCGTTCAACGTCATGGTGTTGATGCTGGTGTCGGTGTCGGCGTCGTGTCAATGTCAGGGGCTTTGACCTACCTACGGCTCTGCAAGTGGGACAGTGGAATAAACGCATGATTTTATAATACTGCCAGCTTTGTATGTCAATGCCGAGACCTTTAGGCTGTTATTCAATTCGTTCTAGAGAATGATTGTGTATTTCGAAAATATCTTCGCTCCGGGCTACGGCAATGTCAAAATTGAAAAGTCACCAGAGCCATGATGAGTAAGGGTTAGAAGGGAGCAACGGACCAGACTAATCCGGTGCGCCTCTTTACTTTTCTCCGTGTTGACTTGTTGCACCAGATGCCGTTGGCAGCTGATGCAGTGAATGCAAACGGTGAACTTACAGCTGCCAAACTATTGACATAGCAGTTGACGTCTGGTACGCACTACGCACAGACTCCCAGTCACACATGACACAAAAGTTCACACAAACTTTTACCCTCATCTTTCAAAATTGAAATTCAAAGGTCCAGTGAGATCCAAGGGTAATATTCGTAACGTACGTTGCTTTTGTTTTGATTGTTCCGTGAATCTTAGGCAGCTTGCTAACTCGTACTAAGAAAAGCAATGCCCGAACAACGACCCTCGAGATCGGCCAAGGCCACGGCCATGGCCAATCTCACTACGAGAACGACGCACGGATACAGACGCATACGAGACGAGACGAGCAACGACCCATCCCGGCATAAGGACATCGAGTTTGACCCTCGAAAGATGCACGATGGGCTGCGAAAGGAGTTCCAGAGCTTGGCTGACAATTACCAGTCAGATGTGATTAATCCGGCCTCGACAGCCAACAAGGATGAACTCACGGCCCTGAACAGGCAGATGAAGAAGTCAATTCATCCTGCAGTGCCCAAGGCTCTTGTTGGTCAAGGTGACTGGTCCCGGCAGGACGAGAAGAACATTCTCGCCCAATGGGAAGCCGAAAAAGCCCACTGGATCAATATTTACGATCCAGACAGGTATCTCAACCTGTGGAAGATATGCCTACAATTTGCCAAATGCACCCCGTGGGATATTGTGGGCTTCAACACCAAGCTTTCTTTTGAGCTAAGTGGCCGAGCCGGGTCGGGAGAGGAAGACGAGAACCACACCTGGTCCGCTCCTTTCATCGACCGTCTCACCTGGCTCATCCCTCATACCGCGTGGACGGCAGTTGAAGATTCATCGCGGTCGGCTTTGCTGGCCACGGCAATTCAGTACGCCGTTATTCTGCGCACAAATGATCAAAGGGTCTGGCGGCTCAGCCACCTTGGGGGCGAGTTCTTCTCGGCATTCCACACCCTGTGTCGAGAAAATTGCCCCTGCTCTATTGCAGGCATCCACGCACAAGTACTCGCTCGTATGAAAGAGGAGGGAATCAAAACGATTTCCCCCATCTCCCGCGTGTTCCAATCGTTGGAAAATGTGATCCTGACGCCGACTGAGAGCTTTGTGCCTCCAGATGAAGAGCCATACTTTGTCACGACTCAGGATTTGACTAATCTCATCAAGGCATTGGATCGGATGGTTGATCCAAGTACCAAAATCAGAATGTTCTTGCCTGTGAGGTTTGTGTACGAGAGTGCAAAATCTGCTCGTGGTGGCCGCCAACCCCCGAACATGGAACAGCTGCACGAGTATCACAAACTGGCCTTGATCGAAGAAATGAGGCGCAAGGTCAAAGCCGCACGACAGACGCAGAGTATTCGTGGCCCAGATGACGGCAACGATGACGATCCGTTCGCACATGAGAGCTCGCCTGTGCCTATAAGGCCCACGAAACGGCGGCGCTTGTCCCATGTCCAAACAACGTCGGGAATGAGCGACAGTCCCACAGCAGAATTAGGAAGTGAATCACGTCCCATGCCAATCCAGTCACCATCCCCAGAATTGGATTTTGGTGCTGATCTTGGTGATGGCTTTGGTCCCAATGACGACCATACTCCTGAGCCCGTTGACGACGACGCAATGAGTCTCGACAGCATCGAAGAAGATTACGGACTCGGTGCAACGACAGAACAGCCAATGGCTCCTCATAAGATCTCGAGTATTCATAAACAGTTTCGAGTGGGTCAGCGAGGACAAGCATACACGATTCACATGAGTAAACTTCGTTAGGGTATGGCTCGTGAGATGCGGGAGAAGCGAGGGGCGGAGGAGGATACCGGATGTGTTTGCGGTTTTGGCAACATAATCACACCGGACCAAGTGTACAGTTCAGTATGATTAGTTGATTTTATGTGTACTTCTAATATGGACGCTATCACGATTCCACTGGACCAAGTAAAAGGGAAATGCCAATTTCCACTTGTGCCCTAGATAATTGAACCTTATATGCCTCTTAGTTGTACATACCCTCTATTCTTGCCCGTTGACATAAGCAATTCACTCTATCACTGGTCCCTCAAGCGTGGAATGATATTTTACTGTAGCTGGCGTTGCAGGTGTGACGTCCTCGATCCGCAGACTTACAATTACATCCATCACTGTCATGAAGTCATTCATTTGCGCAACTTTTTATTGCATTCTAGAACTATCAAAGAGTATTCTTTCACTCCAGACACATGCAGGTGGGGATGGATCAAGATTCAAAGCGGAACGCAACGGCACAGAGACAACTGTATTATTCGTATCCCCTAAACCAGTCCCAACTGAAAAGCAAACCTGTACAAAGATCAAAAATTGACGAAAACGAGAAAAGACGATTAGACAACAACGCGACGAAACCCATTTTCCCCCGTACCTTCCATGCTACTCTGAAATGCATCTGCACACGTTCATCTCAAGGCATGTAGCCGTCGTCATCCTCCACCACGTCGTCTTCGACGATGCTAAGGTATTCCATTCCATGGCTCTCGGGCTCAAACATTTCTTCGTCCGGTTCCCGCTTCAATGGGACCCATGGGTTGCCGCCGGGAATGCGATCAACACAGCTCGGAATATCACGAAGCCAGGCCAGATTCTCCATGACAGTATCCTGATCGGCCGTTTCGGGATCCTTTGGCAAGTCTGACAGGTCATTTTTGGCGTAGTCGAACATTGTCCAGGGCTGAGTCTGGTGTTCCATTAGGCTCTTGCAGAAACTTGGCGTCCACGGGAAGTTTTGCGGCAAGGCCGTGTCGCCCGCCTCTTTGGCCTCAATGAACATGTCGACCCAGTTGGCAAAAGCGGCCAAGGTAGGGCGATGAGCACGGCGCTCGATTGCCCAAGACAGCTTCTTTGGGCGTCGCGGCCATGGGATCTTGCAGCCATCGGCCGACTCGTGGTCAGCTTTGTTGCAAACAGGACAGCCATGGATAAAGCCATCGTCAGCGGGGTGGACACAGTCTCGGACTTTGTGACCAGGCGTGAGGCAATTGCCACAGGGTATCTCTTTCTCGGCTTCCTCTTGGTCTAACCGAACCTCGGCCTCGAATTCAGAAAACTTCCTGGGGAAGGGCGGCGGCGTGACTGAAAGAGCGCGCAACCGCGTAATATTGGTGAGATGAAAGGTCAATGGAACATCCGGCCCAGCCCCAGAACGCGAAAAAAGTTCCCTCATTGTACCCGCGAGGTCTTCGGTCGTGGTTACGGCCATAAATTGGTCGCCATGCTGGCGGATTTGTCGGGCACCGGCGGACTGCTCGTCACCATTGTTTTCGGCTGCGTTGGTCTCCTGCGGGTTTGAAGACATGATGACGATGATGATGTTGTTGTTTTTGTTGCTGTTGTGGTGGTGGTGCTTGTGCTTGTATTGGTGGTAGTGGTGATGATGATGGTGTTAGAGAGACCGTATCAACCATCGACTGCAGGACCTTATAGAATTTGAGACCTTTCACGCAGTAAAAGGAGGGGGGGCTGGGGGTTGCTAGCTGCAATAGTAAAAGGTCAAGTGAGCAAACAGTAAGCAAACAGTAGGTGGGCGGTAAACAAAAAGTGAACGACGAGTGAACAATGAGTGAACTTCAAATCCTTGTTTTGTTCTAGGATCCTGGCTACCAAACGTCTAGATTGTGTGAGAAATTGGAAAGGCGTCAAGGTTGGAAGCGGCACGCTGTTTTGGCTGTACTTTGGCACCTGGCAGCTGACTTCATACTAGCCTAACCAGACATGATAGGTCTGGTGGTAATTTTAGAATGGCTTACAGACTGTCACTTGGTTGGCAGCTGTCAAGAGCTGACCAACTACGTTGACATCTCCCAATAGAGGCATACTTTGAAAATTTCTTCCTTTACCCGTCACACATCGACAACGTTTGAAAGATCTTCCAGCAGCGTAAAAGCAAGCTTCAAGACATAAATCAGACGCCATGTCGAATGTATCAGTCGGTTCGGCTAATGCCGCGTATGTGACGCCAGCAACGGACGTTCTCAACGCGTACAACCGCCCGAACAACATGTATGATGCGAGATGGGAGTTTACAAAGCTCCTGGACGATCTGTAATCTCCTGCGGTGCGTGATCGCCCGATAAGAGTCGGAATAGATATTACTCGAACCATCGAGGCATTCAAAAAGGGCTACGAGACAGACTACCTCGTCTTTCAGCTCGCAATGTCCATGTCTCCGCTCGCCTTTCGGTCTGTTCTCTCGGGCACAGTCGCTTGGCAAGCGGCCCAGACGATCAGTCACGACTGGTATTCTGCGGCTGGGCCAGGGGTCTACGCCGTCGGCGTTCAGTAAACGGGCGTGGAGGCAAGTTCCTGTCTGCGCAAGAAATTCGCCGTCTAGCAGAAGGCGTTGAGCAGTATTCCGCTGGCTACGATGCCTTGCAAACACCCCGTGCCCAGAGAAACTCGACTCAATGTCGAGATGCCAGATATCTGCGCAGCGTTGACAATGCAATTTCCAACTTTACTGGTTCAGCTAACGGAGGTCGAAGCATCGTCAACAGCAGCGAGCAGCAGCACGTACTCATGTTTGCAGAGAGGCTTCGGGAACGGGCCAAGACTATCTTGTCTGTTGACTCAACAGGCCATGTGATCCAAGTGCAGAGCCCGCTCTACGTTGGATGCTCGGACAAGATGGAAAAGAGGACTCAAGATTACATTGGGCCGGCTAACCTCGGTAACATAAACAAGTTGCTGGTTCTTGCCCTCAATGTTCTGAAGATGATGAATCTTCCATCTGGCCTCTATGCTCGGCCTGTCATTCGCATCTGGGAGCGACATCAACTTCCCTATGCCGAGCGGCTTGTTGCCACGCTTGCCGAGTCATTGGTGGCGCAAAACGGCTTCAACGCGACAGAAGCCGGAGGACGGGCTACTTGCCAGGCTAGCCTAGCCGAGTTCCAGGCCGCCAAATGCCAAGTCTTTGCCATCAAGCCGTTCTTGCAACATCATCTCGATGGGGTGGACGCTGAGCTCGAAAAAAGGCTAAAGTTCATCCAAGAGGTCAAGAGGCTAAGCCAGTACCTGTCCAATCTGGAGCAACAGATTGTCGAGATTAGACAACAGCTTCGCAGCCTCATGGCACTCAAGCCGCTTGGATGGAATGCAGGGGTCACGCTGCTGCAGAATAAACTGCAAACCCTTCGTCAGCAGACGGACACCCTCGTGGACTGGAAGGTCCGCTTGCAGGCCATCATAGGCCTTCAACGTGCCATGCTGGCGGCCGCGGAACCACGCCGTCATTCTGCGGACTCTCAATTCCCTTCATCGGCTACACAGGGCAGATCTGTTCCCGCTACTCCTGTTGCTGGCCAAGGGACTCGGCCTCCTCCGCTCTCGTCATCGTCAGTGGCAACTGTGATTCCGCAGACTTCTGACCCTTCATCGTTTCCCGGGGATAATGAAGCGGATGTTGATTGAGCCGAGTTTGCCGCTACCAGTTGAGCGAGAGCCTGTTATGTAGGTAAATTTCACTAGGGTTAGTTGGAATCGACTGTTTGTTGTTGTCTTCACTCTCTGACAGTTGTTGTGCATTCATGTAGTGACATCTTGTAGCTAATTGGTCACGTCGGTCCGGATTAGATTTGTTACTATTACACTTTGTAGAACCCGGGTGAAAAGCACTTGCTTACCGTGCAACCTTGGGTGAAAGTCCGTGTGGGGTTGCTATTGTCGAACCGGTCAACATGTCTCTCTGCATTAAGGCACGTGAAATGCGTCTTTAATGGATCGGAGCAGACTGCGCTGACTGGGAGGACATTAGCTTTGATGCCCTTGTATTAAAGACATCCACAGGCATTGAATACAGCTATTCATCTGCCATCAAGTATCAAGCCCAAGTTATATCTTGAAAGTAAATTTCCGTGGTTCTACAAAATGCAAAATTGGTAGACCCGCATCGCTACGTCAAAGTGTCGAGATGATTGCAATGCAACTGTAACGAGAATAAGTTTTACGAGGGATAAAACCACGGCTGGTAAACATGACGCGTGAAGAATAGACTGCTATACACTCTGGCACCGTACACTATCCACGCTGTGAAGACATTTTGGTTCCACCACCACCCAGTTTAGGAGCTTGGCCTCGCCCAGACAGCCGTGGCCGGTTCAGCCAGTCCCCCTGATGGCGGCCTTGCCGCCAGCACCTCCAACACGATGGTGCTCACCATGCAGATTTTTGCTCCGTCAAAGCTGAGAGCAAACACCTTGCTGTCCGTCATGGCGAACCCCTTGCAAATTCAACCCTTTTGTTCCTAGCCCGAGCCACTGAATTCTTGATTAAGCTCTCAGAAAAGGCAATATCGCGACTAAAAGGCTTAAAAGACCACTCTATCGGCAGGACTGCGTATGCTTCAAAATGCAGACCCAGCACTGGGTTTAGTTTACGCTTGAGGACTAATATTGCAACTAAAATGAGATTATTTATAGTACCGGGGGTTCCCATCATTTCCTTAAAGGGGAAAAAGTCCTAACCTAAAGGCTATATTTCTGGAAAGCGTCTTAAAGCTACGTCGCAAATCGTTAACACACCATTATCACGGTAATTTATAATCAAAATCGTATAGTGTATCCATGCCCGTACCATAGCATCTTAAATAATTGCATAGTTGGTTTCTCCTAAGGCTAAAGATTAGTATTCTCTGTCTAGCGCGAACAAACCTGCAAAGATCTCGAGCTCGTTAACCATGTCCGCAACTCTTTCTGCGGCCATGGTATCGATTACAATTCCCACCCCACCAACGACATCTCTGATGTGGTCCGCGGCTCTGGCAGTGTCAGAGTTTTGCTTGAACCTTTTCATTGTAATCGGCCACGCGGCAAGCGGCACCCAGATTCCACCTTGTACAAAGAGAGTCTAGGGCATGGAGAACCGCCTGGAAACTCCAGTTAAAAAGGTTTCTAGCGTGACTATTACCAGGGGATCTCGCTAAAAGATACCTTATTAAGTGATAACATGTATCTCTTCGTAAACCGGAGTAGCAATTCAAATTATAGCTTTTTTAGTGGCGGTAGTAAGGTTTTAATTTAATAGACTAGTTATAAGAAAGAGAGGTTAAAGAAACTGGTACTTGAACTCGGGTAATAGTAATAATAGCAAGTTAAATTTACGGCCTAGCTATATTATAAATAGCTAATTCGCATCTTCGCAAATGCGAATGCAGTTGCTTACAAGTAACGTCTGTAGGTGGTACTGTAGACGGGCAAAGTCTCCGAGAAGGTGACGGAAAATCTGTAGAGCGCGAAAGCCCTGAAAATTCGTAATAAGAGTTCAATGTTAGGCCTCGGAATTGTAACTCGCTCGGTTAGGGTGGAAGTTTGCTAAATGTAGGAGATTGCCTGTTCTACCTTCTATTAGAAAATTTACTCGGGTTTATTAATAATACGGCCGCGTTCTTAAAGCTTAGCAGCTTAGCGGGCGCTAATAGTAATCGCGCCTAAACGAGATATCTCTATAGAGACTCGGCTCAGCCCGATTAAAACGAAGACGGTAGGCGGAACTTTTAGTCGTCCTGCTCCATTACGTCTAGCATGCTGTCCACGAATAGTTTTGGCACCCCCCAGATCCGCAACAACGAAAAGACGAGATCCACCTCCTCCAGGTAACACAGTAATATTAACGCTCTTTGCTTGGAGGCTTCGGTCTTAATAAGTTGCGTAGTAGTTCTAATAAAGTTGGTAGTCTCACAGGTTTATAATACTAGTTTTGCACGACGGAGCTGGAATAGACGGGGAGAGAAAGCTAAAGAAATACCAAGGTTAGGGTAAAAGTACGTGAAGAGCTTCTTAACAGAGTAATCCGGCTCTTAAAGGCGGATAATATTAACACTTAAAGTTAGGCCCTAGACGTTAGGTTTCCAGCTTAACTAAATAACTCGAGAAGACTTGAGGTAAACTCTATAGAGTAGTGGTAGTTTATCTATACTATAATAGTAACATGATTTTCTTCCCACTAATCGTAATCTCTAGGGGTTTATAAATAACGAAGAAATGTGCCGTAATCGAGAACTACGGGCTCAATCGCTCGGGGATCGGGAAACCTAGCTAACTCTGCGAACAGGGTTTGACTTTCGAAAACAACCAAGACGTCAACACTGTCTTGTCATGCCACTTCCATTTCGGAAAACAGGTACCGTGCTTAATCGTACGGCGCAAGGTCGGTCGATTCGTAGTGACCAAATGCCACCGCATCAGGCAGTTTAGCCCAGTCGGTGAGGGCGAGCTACATTGCAGGTCAGTTGGTTCTTTGAATATTAACACTGTAATATTAATTACCTTAGGCATCTCATCCATTCTCCTAGCTGTTTCCGGTGTGGTTTTGGTAAAGATGAAGTGTTGTTATTGTCATTGGGTCACTTGTGTCTGGGAGTGTGTTTGGGTAGTTGAGTGCGCCTTGTGTTTACCGTTTGCCTGTTGCCGTTTACCGTTTGCTCATTGCCGCTTGTCCACTTTCTTTCTTGTCTTGACAGCTAGCAGCCCGCTCGCTAAGAACAGGGAGCGGGCTCGGTACATGGGTAGTTTCCCAATAGCTTCTTCCCTTTTCGAACTGGCACCGACTTTACGTCAATTGCTCGGGGCGCTCATCCATTTTACTCGGGGCGCTCACGCCCCAATTTTTCTGCGGTCAACCCCGCTGCCAGACCCTATAGTACATTCTTAGTATAAATGCATGGCAGCTTTACTTAACACTAAAAAGCTCTACTAAAAATTAACGGATTTTTTAATAGAGCTGCAACCGTACGAATTTTTTAGCGGGTAGCAGCTTTTTTCTTCTTTAACACTATAAAGAAAAAATCCGGCCTAAAAGTGTACAATAGCTTAAAAAAATCATGTAAATTACACAAGCACCTTATCATTTAATTGAGGGCATTTACTTCGTACTGCCATGCATTTAAACTGAAAATGTACTCGTGGGGTCTGAAATCGGGGCCGCTAGACCAAAATTAGGGCGTGGTGGGGTATTAAGCGCCCCGAGCGATCGACGAATTTACTGGCAAGTATTTCAACACAACACAGCACTCTGTACTGCTTGCTGCTTGATAAAGGACCCCCCTTTAGTACAGAAATTCTTTATGGCCTCATGCTTGCACCTGAATTGGGTTCCGAGAGAGTGAAACACATGAGACATCAATCAAATCCTCGTTGATAGATACCGTCTTTGACACGAAACGCACCAAGACTCACACAAAGAATCTGATTTCAATTCGAGTAAAGAACTACCACCACCATCGTCATCATGTCTTCAGACCAGCAGATGGTCAACACAGACCATAAAGGGGTCATAACATGTGTGGCTACGACTGAAAACCTCGAGTCTAAACTGAGGGATATGGCTATGGCTTTGCGTTCTGAATATGGGCCAAATCAGACATGGCTGTTTGAGGCCAAGAGTGATTCGCGAATGCTCAGTACTGGGCTGCTTCCGCCGATGTACCCGGCTCCAAGGCGGTTGTTTGGACTTCCGATCACACCCCGCGCTCCCCCGTCAGTGGTCCAGCAAGCAATTCAGGGACAAGTCCAGCAGGACGCTCAGAGACATCGTTCGCGCCTGACCAACCGTGGCGGCATCCAGAAATCTGGTCTTCAAGAGACATCGTCTTCCGCTCGCGACATCGCGACCAGAATTCAGCAGGACTCTGCGCTCCGTAGAGACATCGAAGAGTTCGTGCTGCGGAGGGAACAGCAGTCGTCTCGGGCGCCCCAAGAGAAGGGCCGAAAAGCAGTCCCTTGCGGCAATTGTCTCATGCCTGGGCACACAGTCCGAGACTGTGTTCACCCGGCCGTGGATGGCTTTGTTCACGGCTGTCCTATCTGCAACGGGGCTGATCATGAATCGGCTCAAGGCTGCAAAATGGACTGGCCGAAACGCCTGGAGAAGAGGCTATTGTGGGCAATCGGGCATCGCGCTCGCCGTCCTACTCTGGCCGCATTTTCCAACTGGATGGAGATGTTCGCAGAGGCCCGTGACAACGGCCATGTGGCCTTGCCACAAAGCTTCCCGTGGACGCCATTCTACAGTCTACGCTTAATGAAATCTCAAACATATCCCTGGCAAACTTTTGACTATACCAGTCAGTCCCCAGAGCTGCCAAGGGATCCTCTAACGGCCGACCAAAACACCGTCAACGAGAATCAAAGTATGCTTCGCGCTCTTCCGAGCTATGTCGTCGGCACTACCGGTGGCAGACCATGGATTCCATCACAGCAGTAGCGCAAAGGTCGTATCGGCTATGCAATAGACTACGTTCGCATCATTCAAGAAGACTTGGTGGAGGATGACGACAGCACCATCTCTCGAGTCGTCACTGGTCGAGATTGGAACAATGGCTGCTTTAAGATGAATGTGCACAGCTGGATTTCGGAGTAGCAGGGAAGGTTGGCTTTGTTTTTTTGTTTTCTTAATTTTTTTCTGACATATTTTAATGACTTTGCGGAATGGGGACGGCTTTTGTGTTTAGGTCTAGTTTGAGAGAGAGAAATAATAAAGTTCGCCGTGATTCGATGCATTCTTCATGTTGCTCAATTCCTGTGTGCATACGTCTCGTGTAAGAAAAAATTTCTGTGCTACCAAGATTTGAGACTGATGAAAGGTACCAGACGTCATTAAACGGGTGTCGATTGAGCTAATCCTCTTCTACCAAGCTTTTGTTTGTGAATTTTTACTGAATTCTTGGCGTGAAAATCATCATTATTCATTTCATCGCCGTTGGATTGCGCGAAATGTGACGAGGGCTCAATAGAGGGCTTGAAGCAAAAGGGCTCAATTCAATGATAATCTTGTAGGATGTCAAAGGTGCTTGGTTCCTCAAAGCCAAAAGGCGAGGGGAGACCATCTTATATACATGAAAGGAACGGCCCGTGCCTAGTGTGCCCCATAGTTCTCGTGATGTTCTTGTGTAACAAAGGGCTTCTAATCCTTGCTTGACCTAATCCGTGTGACACGAATTGACAAGATCTCTGAAGGTTGTGTCATGGCACATTTCACCGTGCGACAACAGAATGCGTCTTATCGGAAGGGGAAAAAAAAATCAAGTTAATAATTGCAATTTGATTATACTGATTTGTGTCTTTTATTCTTTGCCGGAGCTTGTACGGCAGACATCTGGACGTAATTGAGATATTGCATTGCAAACATTAAAACCTCCAATGCCCCATTCACCGCCGTCGAATCCCAGTAAACCACAACACAACTTAACATGCATTTGGCTTGCGGAACTTCAGTCCGATGCTGGGCCTCCCGTCTTCATCGTTGAAGTGGATGCGCTTGACGAAAATGCAGTCCTCGTGAAAGGGACAAAAGTCATTCTCAACCTCGATTTGCTCGTCAAACCGGAACCCCCGAGAACAGAACCAAGTCTCAGCTGGTCCTTCACAGACCAAATGTATCGCGCTCTCGATGTTCGCGGGCTGCAGAGTATCTAGCAGCAATCGACTCACCTCCTTTGGCTCCATGTTTTCGGCCCCAACCACATTGAGAATGGTTAGATCAGACAATGCCTCGTCGATTGCACTGTCCCAGAATCGCAGACTCTGGTACTTGTACAGCCATTTTGGTTTGCCTGCCTCCGTCGTCAAAGGTGGCGTTGGGCCGCCGAGCTTGCCCAGATCACTGGAAATCTGGCCAACTACCTCCGAGGTGCCGTCAATCTGCTGCTTGATCGACCCGACAATCTCAACAAGCTCCCCGAGTGTCGTTTGCAAGCTGTCTGGGGTTGTTGCTCCTCTCCAATTTGTCAGCGCCTCAAGGTGTTTGGCAAGATTCTCCGACATGAGAGAGACCGCCTGGGACACCTTTTGAGACGCCGTTTCCCGATCAAGGTCAATGTTCAAGACTCTGTTGGCCAGTGTCGTAATGTCGGAATTTTTGGGAAAGTCTGCCTTTGTAATTATGGTATTCAGCGCATCGACTTTGTTAGCCAGTTCGACAACGTCGGCTTTTTTTGCAAGGTTTGTGTCCGCCAACTTGTTGTTGAGAACATCAACCTTGGCAGATATTTCTGCCAATTCTGCTGTCTGCGCCTGATGCTCAGAGTCTCGAGCATCGTTGTTACGCAGCACGGTGCTCGCCAGTTCCGCGACAACAGACCGGTTTGGAAGGTCGGAGGCGATGGAATCGATCTTGGAGACGAGATTACGCAAGTCAAGTCTCAGGAAGACTTGGTTAGAGATTCCCTGACGCAATTGTGCAAGAGTTGCCTCGTGGTCAGTGCTGGCCTGTAATACCTGTGCAGTCAGGTTGGTGATGTCGCGTCTCTGCACACGATCGCTGGCATTGTCCAACAGTCCAAGGGATTCCAAGTCTGATCTTGTCACCAAATTAGAGACGCCATTGCTCACAATGGCGTGAACTTGCTCTACCGACAATAGACTTGCCATCGCTTCAACCAGGTTCGGCAATACCGAGAGTCGCGATACAACAGAGTCAATATCGCTCTTCGAGGCTAAGTCTCGCAGGGCCGCCTGCTGCTCTTTGAAATCGTCTTGCAGTTTCCGGATAAGATTGAGATCTGCCAGTCCGGCTTGTATGGTGAGGAATCGGTCGTCCAGCAACTCCCGCACATGCTCAAATGAGTGGTCACGATCAGCTGCCAGTTCACGCATTCGACTATTGACCTCGTTGCGAGTTTCCCGTAGCGAGGTTTCGCGGAAATCCAATGACTCCTGTCGCTCTGTTAACCGCTTCTCCATTTCGCAGAGGCGTTGTTCCTTTTCATCGAGGCGCGTCTCACGCTCCATCTGGCAAGGGGATATCTCCGCATCTGCCCGGCGAACCTCTGTCGCGAGTGCAATGAAGCGGCTGTCAGGCTGCTTCTCCATCCGCTCACTGATATTCGACTTGAGCTTTTCGGTCTCTTTGTTGACTTGGTCATGAAGACGACTGTTGAACGTCTCCTGGAGCTTGTCAAGTTCCCTGCGCATCTCGGCCTGCGCCATCCTAGAGGCTTGCAGCTGAGTCTCTAGGATAGCCGTTTCTTTAACCATGATTTCTACCTGCTGCGACAAATTCCTCGCCCGTCGTAAAACTTCAAGTTTGAAGCCCTCCTCGACGGCTTCACTAGACGCGCCCTCGCATATACCGATCATGGTGCTGGCGTCCCCGCGCAGCTTTCCAATTTCTTCAATGAGAGTCATTTTGGAGTATTGTTTTGACTTGAGTAGCAATTTTGAGGCGATGATATTTGTCCAAATTGCTCACGGTTTGCGATGTGTTAATGTGTTAATGTCGAGACTGCTGGCGGTGGTTGCTGAGTTTCTCTTTAGCGCCGGGTGATGAAGAAGAACAAAATAAGACTTCGGGCACGGGCTGAGAACACCAGGCTTGAAAATGAGAATCCCTGCCTGTTGGTGGCTGGCGGCGGTTCACTGGTTGTCAAGTGTCAAAAGACTCCCCTTCACTGTGAGCACAAGGTGAGCACAAGGCGACATGAGCTCGAGGGTGACGTTTGGGACAGGATTGCGGGTAGCGCTCTAAGTCACGCCAACCACTGCCGAAAACAAAAGGTCATAGCCAGCTGACGATATAAGTTGCAAGTTTCATCTCATCTCTCCAAGAATTGGCTGAGCTGAGCGGTTTGCCATGTGATGGAATGTGAGATTGTTTTCCATACGGCCTGACAAATTTCTGATGTGACTTGTCCAGTAACTAAAATCCAGCTCCAAAGAATTAACGCGTTTACGGCAGAAACGGAACCGAAAAAAAAAATCATCTCAAGAAGGCAGGCATACTTGACCATTTATTGAAATAAGGCGGATGGGATGGCGGATGAGGACGGTTCACTTTGGTAAAGTTCCCCAGGCATTTTAAGCAGTTTAACTTTTCAGATAGCAGTATGAATTGAGAGAAAATAAGCGCAATCGTTTTATTCATTTTCACCACCAAAGAATTAGAAGAAAGATGGAAAAAAAGAGACCACAGAAAACACCATCCACAATGCCAGCATCCCTTGATGACCCGTCATGCAAACCATACCCAATCAAGCCTCACCAGAATCGACCTTGGTGAACACGTCCCTGGCACTGACCCTGAAGTAAATATCCATGAACTCAGTAATGGGGATATCTTGACCCCCCCTTGCGAGCTGATGAGCCCAGGCGGCGATACCGGACCAGGAACGAAACAGTTGCAACTGGTTATAGGGAGTCGCAGCTTGTTGGTCGCGAAGACGCACAACCAGCTTGCGAAGCCCTTCACCGCTGACTTGGCAGACGACTTGCACTGCCGGAGACATGTAAAGCCAGAGATTCTGACTTGGACGCTCGTAGCAAGCCTCCCAGTCTCTCTCTGGGGGAAAGGGAATGCCAAAAGTCCCACACTCATCATGCTGAGATTCGGGCCACGCAGGCCATCCCGGCACTATCTCGCTGCCCATGATGCTTGTCCAAGCCGACCTCATTTCCTCCATTTCCTCTTCGGGCGCGACGCTTTTCTTCCCTTTGCCCTTGGGACATGCGACTGGAGCAATGGGATCGACTCTGCCGTCTTTCAGGACAGGCTCTGCGGCAGCGGTGCCCTTGGAAGACTCTCCTGAAGCCATGCAATCGACTCCAGCATCATCTTTGGGCGCTGGCCCAGCAGAAGCCTCGCTCTCGGGAGCCCATCGAGACTTGGCCAAGCCGCCAAGGCTACTCAGTTTGGCAACAGCGCGTGAAGACTCCCTCGCCTTCCTAGCCATAGCCTCCAGCCTCATCTGCTTCATTAGAGCGAGTAATTCGGCCTCTTCCGTATCCCATGCCTTCAGATACATTGTGCTGTACACAATGTCGGCTGGCCCAGTCGTCGTGACTGGACAGTGTCCCTCACTAAGCTCCCAAAGTTTAACTTTAAGCTTTTTGCAAAGCATGTCCAGTAATTTAAACTGAATAAATGGTTTGCCAAGAACGGGGACGCGAGGGGTCAACTCCCAAATCTTCTCTTTATACATATTTACTCTCATATCGTTAAGGAGATCCATCACGCCCTCAACGGTGGCGTTAGGGCGGGCTGTGAGCACTGCTGCCATCACTGCCTCCTTGAGCGGCTGGTTGATGATGTCGTCTGGGGTCCAGGCGATGAACTCCTCAGGCTGTTCCTTGGCCTGCTTCAAAACTTGTTTCTCGTTCAACGACATGTTTCTGCTTTGCTGTTGCTGCTGCTGCTGCTGCTGTTTTTTTGGCGGTGTTATCGTCGTTGTTGTTGCTGAAGTTGCTGCAGGTAGTCTTGTTCTGCGGGATATAAACTGGAGCAAGAATTAAAACATTGAAGTCTGGTGGATTTTAATTTGACCTAGGGTCAAGTAGCTAGCAGCGCGGGTACAGACCATTGACTCACTGAAAAAGTGAACAATGGTCACTTCAATGCTAGATTCAATGTTCGGCTTGACTGCCGGTTTGTAAAATCCTGCCAGCTGCGAGGCGAGTGCAAGTGAAAAACTCGGTTCGCGCTTGGTTTGAATTCCACAAAACGTCAGACCCCATAGTCCCATGGAAACCGCAAACTTCTTCCTCCAACAGGCGAAGGAAGAGTCTACAAACACGAAAAAAATGTCAAGTATACCTATTGGCTCGGCCGAAGCGGCTTTTACGTCAACGTCCACAGATGTCCTTGAGGCGTATAATCGTCAATCCCGCATGTACGATGCAAAAATGATGTTCCACAAGCTGCTGGATGATTTGTCGTCTCCCGCAACCATGAGTCGCCTTAGAGACGCTAAAATTGGTATTATGCGGACAATTGAAGCTTTTAAAAGAGAGCACACCGGATAGTACGTTATCTTTCAGTTGGCAATGTCCACGTCTCCGCGAGCCTTCCAATCTGTACTTTCGGGAACTATTGCTTGGGAAGCCTCTCGTACAGTGCCAACAGACTGGTATCATGCTCATGGGCCAGGAGTCTACGCCGTTGGGGTCGCAGTAGACGGCCGTGGAGGCAGATTTCTAACTGCATGGGAGATTCAGGATCTCGCTAGAGGTGGCGACAAATACGCCTCTGGATACCAAGCACTTCAGGTTCCGACAAGTCAGCGAATAACGTCTTAACAAGGAGATTTTATGTATCTTCGTGCCGTTGATGATGCTATTACACCTTTCAACCATTCATTGAAACCAAGTCAAAGCATTGCTAACCAAGATGAGCTTCGACGCGTTGTCATGTTCGCTGAGAGACTCCGAGAAAGGGTCAGGGTCATTTTATCCGTCAATCCAGCGGGCACTACTATTCAGATACAAAGTCCTCTGTATGTTGGATGTTCGGATAAATTAGAGGTTCGAACGATGGACTATGAGACGCCTGCTCTTTCAAAGGTCAACAAGTTGCTGTGCCTTACACTTGACACACTGAAGGCAATGAGACTGCCTTCTAAACTTGTTGTTCGTCCAATTATTCGCATTTGGGAAGGACACCAACTTCCACACGCAGAGCGACTTGTTGCAGAATCCTTGGTTGCGCAGAATGGCTTTAATGCCACTGAGGCCGGGGGCAAGGCCACGTCCCTTGCCAATCCGCTTAGTCTGCGAATAGCCAGGAGAGATGTCTTCGTCAACAAGTCGTTTTTTCAACAACATGTCGCTTCTGTGAAGTCACAGCTCGACGAGGGGGCTAGATTCGTTAATGATGTACACGGACTTGGCTACGCGTTTTCTAGGCTAAATGCGGAGACCAGTAAGCTTGACGAACAGCTTGATAGCTTCGCTGCTAACGAATCATGGACATGGGAGGATGCATGCCAATTACTGGAGCAGAAGCAAAAGCTGTCCGAGAAGCGCATCAATGCCAATTTCAATTTGCGAGTTCGATTGCAGATGTGCCAAACTCTGTTGAAATCCATGTCGCAGGAGTCTTTGGGTCGCTCGCTTCGGCCATCTGGAAGGGATTTTATCGCGGGAACGTCTGATGAAATGGACGTTGATTGAGAACTCCAGAGTAGGCGGTGCAATGGAACCGAGCGCGGATTGATTCTTCTATATGGACAGAAATATGAATAAGTAAAAATGACTTTGCTATTAATTACTTGTTGATTGCCATGAAGACCTTTCGGTAATTATGTTGCGGAACTGCTGGTACCCAATGAAGAAGTTTAGTGCTACTCACATCAATTGATCCGTCCGGTCTCTGGTTTGTCCCAATATGAATTGACCAGACATTGCAGCTCGGCTGCCATTCTATTTGATTCATTGTTTGCACACGTGGTCAATGCGTCAACGGCTGGTACATCTGCGAAAAGTCAATAGCTGTGCGACCCACTGCAGAACTCCCACCAGGGACCCAAACTCTCTGTGATTGTTGCTGTGGTCCAGCGGTGTTTTCAATGTTCATGGCCACAAGTTCACAACCAGCCCTGAGCCAACCAACAATCACCACATGTGCAACACAAACAACATTGAAATTTCGCGCAAACAAATTTCACAAATACAACCACCTTTGACCCGAAATCTTGACTACGTATTTTTTCGATTATTCCCTATTCCTCTAGTTAATTCCAAGGGCAGAGCCTAACCAGGGAAGCAGAAGCATGGCCGAACAACGAGTGACGAGATCGGCGAGGGCCAGAGCTGCTCGGCGCTCGCATTGCCAATCAACTCACAACGACGGGACGGACGAGACGTACACAAGAGGAGATCGACGCAGACAATGATGAAGACGAAGCTATTGCGGTAAATAGCAGGAGGATGCATATTGGACTGCGAGAAGCACTCCAAGACATGGTCAATAAAAACCAGTCCGAGGTGATTGAGCCGGCTGCGAGAATCCACAAGCAAGAAGTTGAAGCATTAAATCGAAGGATAAAGAATAGCATTCATCCAGCAATGCCAAAAACTTTAATTGGAAGCCATGGCTGGTCTGAAGAAGACGAGGACAGCGTCCTCGCTAAATGGGAGACCGAAAAACAGTACTGGGTCAACGTCCACGACATAGGTAGGTATCTTAATCTCTGGAAGATTTGTCTGCAATATGGCAAATGCACGCCTTGGGATATCGTTGGCGTTAATACAAAGCTCACGATTAAGCTTAGTCCTCGAGGTGATATGGGAGAGGAAGATGAAGAGACGAACCACACTTGGTCTGCCCCTTTCCTCTTGTATTTCATGCAGCTCGTCTGTCATCCCGCATGGTCGGCTAGCAAAGCTTCGTCCCGGGCTGTTCTACTAGCCACGGCAGTTCAGTATGCCGTTTGCGCACAAATGACCAGAGAGTCTGGGACCTAAAGAACCTGGCCGATGAGTTTTTTATTTTATTTCGGGACCTATGCCTGCAAAGATGCCCTTGCTTAATTTCAGACGTTCACAAAGAAGTTCGCGAGCGCATGGAGGCAGCAGGAAATGTCATGGTTCCAGTTATTTCTCATGTGTTGCGATCTTTGGAGCGAGTCGTCAAAGTGCCAGACGAGGCGTTGGTTACTTTTAAATGAGGAACCTTACTTTGTCACGACTCAAGACTTGGCAAACCTAATCAAGGCACTGGACCATACTGTTGACCCCGATACTGGGATTAACATGTTCATGCCTGTGGCAGTGACATATACGAGTGCAAAAGCCGCCCAAGGAGCTCGTGGTGTGCCCAGTGAACGGGTAGAGGAACTGTCTTTACAGATTATGCAGTAACGCATGACATCATACACGCACACAACTGTGACGGAAACAAGTCAATTCAGGTCTAGATCATGGAAAACAAATTCGGTTCCCGCCCACCACTACTGGTAAAGGTCTCGGTGGTCGCGCTTGATGGCATCGGCGCCCTTCTCAGCAACCATGTAGACCGAGTTTTAAATTCAATAATCGGGAATCACGGGAATGACAGATGCGTTAATGAACCAGAGATTCTTGATTTCGTGGACCTTAAGGTTGGGGTCGACGACGCCCTGCTTGATATTCTTGGGCAGACGAGCAGTGCCACGTGGGCGGAACGAGAAATAGTCGGGGTGCAGTTTCGGAAGATGGGGGCTGAGGGCCGATGCCAAGATGTTGGTCCAACTTCCGAGGCGGCTGCAGACTGAAGCGACCAACAGATTTGCACATGCGTCTTGGCGACGCACAAAACGAACATGGCCTGCATCCTTCCAATGCCCCGTCCGTCATGGTGCTCAATCAAAGGGACGCTCGTCGGGACTCGGCGGCTATAAAGGCATGGTGATTAACCGAGCCTGGCCTTGATTATACTCTCACCCAATGCTCCACCTTGCGCCAACATGTCTTCACTCGCAGAGTCAAAGGTAGACGTCCTCGTCATCGGAGCCGGCCCGGCAGGGCTGATGATGGCGACGTGGCTCGCCAAAAGTGGTGTCGACGCACGCATCGTGGACAAGCGCGGCACAAAAATCTTCAACGGCCAGGCAGACGGTCTGCAGTGCCGCACATTGGAGATTTTCGACTCCCTGGGGTTTGCACACCGCGCGTGGCGCGAGTCCAACCACCTGTTGGAAATATGCCTGTGGAATCCCGACCCAGACGGCCAGATTCGCCGGAGCGGCCGCATCCCGGACACGATCCCCGGAATCAGCCGGTTCCAGCAAGTAGTGCTGCATCAAGGCCGGATCGAGAGGTTTTTCCTCGACGCCATTGAAGAGTGTAGCGACATCAGGGTCGAGAGGGGCGTGATGCCAAGCAGCCTCGATATCGACGAGTCCCGGGTTGAAGACGACGATGCGTACCCCGTCACGGTCAAGTTGCGCCATCTTTCAGAAGAGGAGGCGACGCCGAAACAGGCCGCGAGCTCTGCAAACGGCGGCGCAGCGGTCCAGGATGGTCTTTTCCGCAGTAACCTGGCCAAGGACGACGCCGAGGACCTCTTGGGCGCCGCGGCAAGGCTCAACGGCAAGGCCAACACGGAAGAGGTCGTCCACGCCAAGTATGTGCTGGGCGCGGATGGCGCACACTCGTGGACGCGGCGCCAGATTGGTCTCGGGCTGGAGGGCGACTCGACCGACTACATTTGGGGCGTGTTGGACATGGTGCCCATTACCGACTTCCCGGATATACGCATGCGCTGTGCCATCCACTCGGCCAACTCGGGGAGCATCATGGTCATTCCCCGCGAGAACAAGCTGGTCAGGCTCTACATTCAGCTCACGACGACGGAGAGGGTCGGCGACGAGCCGACCAAGGCAGACCGCTCCAAGATTAGCCCGCGGGTGATTCTGGAGGCGGCGCAGCGCATCATGGCTCCGTACACAATCTCCTATCAAAAGTTGGACTGGTGGACTGCGTATCAAATTGGACAACGAGTCGCCACCTCCTTTTCCGTCCACGACCGCGTATTCCTGGCTGGAGACGCGGTACATACACACAGGTATGAACAAGAATTTGCCACGCAGTCTCCTTGTATGCAAAGCTAATACGTCGCCGCAGCCCCAAGGCAGGTCAGGGCATGAACGTCAGCATGCAAGATTGTAAGTGGCACTGCGTTTGTTTACGGGAAATTCCGCTGACGCTATTTGCGCGCAGCTTTCAATCTCGGATGGAAAATGGCCAGTGTCGTCAAGGGCCAGTCAAGCAGACGCATCCTCAAAACATACGAGTCTGAACGGCGCCGGGTTGCGCAGGACCTCATCGCATTCGACCGCAAGTTTTCCAGACTCTTTTCGGGACGACCGGCAAAGGACGTCATGGACAAAGAGGGCATCAGCATGGAAGAGTTTAAAGACGCCTTTGAACAGGGCCACATGTTTGCGAGCGGCATAGGTGCGTTTGACCCTCCAAAGGCACAAACCTTACAATCGTGGCCCGGCTAACAGACCACAGCGGTCAACTACGGCAACAGCGTCGTGGTTGCCAAGGACAGTGGTGGAAACGGCGGGCAAGACGGCCGAAACGGCACGGCCCCCCCTGTTGCACGGAGAGTAGTCTCTGACCCGTCTGCTGCTGCAAATGTCATTGTCGGCAAGCGAATCCCCAGTGTAAAGGTGCTGAACCAGTCCGACGCCCGGCCGTGGCACCTGCACGAGCTTTTGCCCAGCAATGGGCGCTGGCGCGTTCTTGTTTTCCCCGGCGACGTCACAAAGGATGAGCAGCGGCAGAGGCTCACGCAGGTCGCTGCTGCATTTGACGACAAGAAATCATTCCTCCAGAGGCACACGCCCATCGGGGCGCGGCACGACAGCGTCTTTGAGGTCCTCACGATACACCGGGCGCCGCGAACCAGCGTCACCATTTTCGACTTTCCCCGAGTCTTGCGGCCGTACGACGAAACCGAGGGCTGGAGCTATGACAAGATCTTTGTAGATGACGTTTCGTATCACGAGGGACATGGAGAGATGTACCAGGCGTTTGGCATCGCTCCGGACGGCTGCGTCATTATTGTCCGGCCGGACCAACATGTATCCTACGTTGGGCCACTGGATAACCCCGCGGCGGTGAATGACTTTTTCGCCAATTTTATGACTGTGCAGACCTGATGCCAACCAAATGTTGACCCAGGGGGAGGCAAGGCGGACCTTGGTGCTGTGGATTATCCCTTCGGGGACCCTGCCGGGGGCCGCCTGCGGCGAGCTGTGGCCTGCGGCCGGCTTTCATCATGTTAGTCAATGACACCTGACCACATATGCTCTGGTTGCTTGCCAACGCGCCGTTTTACTCCGCTCGCCTTGTCATCGAAAGTTTGCCCAGGCGGGCGGGGAAGCCGATGCATCGGATGTTAATCATCGGAAGGACGGAGCGCCCCGCATGTCCCCCGCATTTCATCCTTCGTGATCCGTCCGGGGGCAACGCCTGCTGGGTCATGTCTATCCAGCTCAGGGCCGAGTATATTCCAAAGTCACAAAAGTTCCGACTTTTACACAAGAGAAAACCGCGAGACGCTGACGGCTGGCCCCACAAAATCCTCCTCGGCTTCGTGTCCAAGACACCAGAAAATGAAGCCTCAAGGACGCGAAGACCGGCTACAACAGAGATGCTCCAGGGCATGTGACACGTAAGACCTCTTCCTTTGCTGTTTGAGACTCAGTGAAGCCTGTCAAGTCTGAGCGCCCGTTCCAATTCAAAACAAAACAAGACGAAAAAATTGCCCCTGACAAGATCCTTCTAGATGCAAGAAGCGCAAGGAGCGATGTGATGGCCGCCAACCGTGCGGTCGGTGTAATGAGCGCGCCGTTCAAGACAAATGTCGTTTTGACACGGACCACGGAGTCCGCCGGCGCCGGGTGCGGCATCAAAACGCGGCAAAGCAGTCGGCCGTGACGACGCTGGATGCCGAAGGAGTCGTGTGTATTCCCCAGCCTGCCAACACAGCCTGGGAGCAGCAGCCGTCGGTGGCCAGCTTGCACCAATCCAGACTCGTCAGGGACAAGAGGGGCAGGTTCATATTCCTGGGCGACTCGGCAAATCTCTCCCTGCTCCGTGTCATACGGCAGGTCGCCAGAACGTGCCACGGGGAGTCGAAATTCGTGGTCGATCCGCTGCGTGCTGGGTTTGTCGAGGCCTCGGCAGAGGACAGCGGCAGCTGGATGGACGCCGCGGAATGTGAGCCGGCCCCGGCCGTGTCTGCAGAAGAGGCGGGCTCCCTGGTGGACATGTTTGAGACAGCAACGTCTGGGTTGGTAGACTTTGTCGACATGGTCGAGTTGCGAGCGCGGCTGGCCGCAGCGCTGGATCACAAGTCCGCACTGCTGGCGCAAGAGCGAATCGTGCCATATCTGGTCGTGGCCATTGGCGCGCAGTCCTCGCGGCCGCTTGGCCATCACGCCGAAGGCTTCTTCCGCCGCGGCCGGTATCTTGCCACTCGCCACCTGACGGATGATGCCAGCGTCATGACAGCACAGGCGTACGTGCTCATCACCGTCTACCTATTGTCAGCGTCGCGTCGAAACACGGCGTCGATGCATCTGAGATTCGCCATTGGGTCGCTGTACGCCCTCGGAATACACAGAAAGGCCGTCGCCCTGCGGTTCAGCAAAAGGGAGTCATTGTTGCGGGAGAAGCTGTGGACGACTGTCCGCATCCTCGATTTGTTTCTGAGCGCCTCGCTCGGCCGGCCGGTGGCGACTACCGAGACACGAAACACGCGGCTCCAAGACGAATACTCGGAGTGGAACGACTTGTGCGCGATTCTCGAAAACGTCCTGACCCAGGTTTATCAGCAGCGCTCCATCACGGCAGAAGTGGTCGACGAGATTGGACAACACCAGAGAGAATGGGCAGACAACCACACCAAGGCCAGGGCGACGGCGCAACCGACGACGGCAGCACCGGACATTGGCACCCTCCACATCAAGCAAATGTACTACTGGACCATCATGCTGCTCACGAGGCCGTTTCTGATGGAGCGAGTCGTGGCCCACGTCAACCAGACCGCCGCGCAGACCGACGACCTCGGGCCGTGTGCGCTGCCAGACCTGTCCAAAACACTCGTGTATGCCTGCGTCAACTCGGCCGTCAAGACCATCGAGCTTCTCGAGCCCCTGGTGCGGTGTACCGCAAGCGTCCCTGCCCGGCTGCCGCTGCTCATCGACGCCGCATTCCACTCTGCCCTGACCGTCGGGTTTGCCCATTTTGGCGACTTGTACCTTGTCTTCCCGCTGGCAAAGCATCTTGAACTCGCGCATTCGATCCTGTCAAGGTTTGCCGACGACCCGGTCGCCTCACGAAACGCCACAATAGTCATGTTTCTCATGGAAGTGTGTCAGCTTCACATCGAAAAGCGACACGCGGCCAACATGGACGTTGAGCGCGAGGCCATTGGGAAGCTGTTTGGACAGATTGACCATCCCGCCGAACAAACAGACCCGGGCCGACCCAAACATGGACACGAGCCGCCAGATGATGCCGCTGCCCAGGCAGCAGGCTCGTACGTTGCGGGTTTTCCCAACATGCACGCATCCCCGAGCAACGTGCCCCTCAACGGACTGCCCGAGAACCAGTCATCAAACGCAACGGGGGGTTCGGCGTCTGTATACGGGGGTTCCGTTGTTTCTCAGTCGCCGCCACCGCTAATTCCGGGTTTGGACCCGTTTGGGCCGGTGCCGGCGGCTCTTGACAGTTCACTCGTTGCTAACCCGCAGCTGTTTTGGCTGGACTTTGACGAGGACGTCTCTTCACTATTTACAATCATTGGTCCGACACAGATCTAGGGATTCCTGATAATGCCTTGACGTCGGTAGCATCCGGGGTGTTTGTGACCCCGGCTACTCTGAGCGGCACTGCGCGGGTGGTAAAGTAAGCGGCAACACCTTTTCCATCCCCAAGTCTCCCAATGGCGATACCAGCGGACCCGGGTGCTCTAATGGTCACCTTCGCGCCGAGCGCAGATACAAGGACGACTACTCTTGCGTTGCCAGTTTGGAGGCGAGTTTAAAGTCAACTCTATGTCTAGGACGCGCATTTCCATCAAGCAGACCTTTGACGGCGACAGCGGCCCGTACTTCATCATGGGCGTCGAGCAAGGCGGTCGACTATACAGCGTTAGGGGGGGGCAAGACCATTGCGGACGGCGACGCCAAGGTAACACGGTCCATGATGCCGACAACAACCGCTTCAGCGTCCATGTCAATGGCAAGGAAAGGTTTCGTGACGGTGACGCGCCAGGCGGCAGCTTCTACGACAAGCGCGTACGCGACCAACAGTGGTACGGGGGATCTGAGCATTACCTGCAACCAAGTCCAGTTCTGGCACAAGTAAGAGCTGGGGTTGACAAGACGGACATAATGACGCAACTTGACATGAGAAAAATTTTTCGCCCATTTTGAAGAGACCAAGACAACTCAGGTAACAGACGGCTTGTTTCCTGGCCACGAAAAAAAAGAAAACAAGTTCAAGTCTCTTGCCCCCAGAGTAGACAAAAGGGGAGTGTCAATCAGCAAGGCGTAAGAGGTCACGTTTTTGTGGGCAACTTGGATTGAAAACACAACATATGAAATTGTCTATACTAACATTTACATACAATTAGAAAGAAATAAAATAAAAGAAACAATTATACATCTTTTCAACCCACTCGGGGTCTCGTTTATAAACCATGTGAAAAATCAACATTATGACGTCTTATCAGCAAGCCATGCAAACACCCCCTCCTTACGAGCATCCTTCCCAGGACTTGCACTGGCTGGATGTGTCGACGTTCTTGTTGGCGGCCACGCAGGCAGAGTACTGCTTCTTACACTTGAGCTGGGTAAGAAGGCCGAGCGTGCGACGGTGGGGCCCCTCGTTGACGGTCGGGGCAACAAAGCCGTCCTCAAAAGCAGACTCGGAGCGCTTGTGCCCGAGGCAGCTCCAGAGGCTGGACTTGGTGCACTGGTCGTACTGTTCCTTGCAGGCCTGGGCACAGGCGTTGGTGACCTGTGGGTGCGAGAAGGTTGGGCACTTGGAGCTGTCCGCGTCACTGTACAGCTTAAAGGGCGAGGCGGCAAACTGGTCCTTGTTGTCGTTGCAGCTGACAATGGGCAGCGGGATGCCGCAGATGGAGCCGGCGTCCTTGCAGACGTTGGTGGGCGAGGGAGGGCAGACGGTGGGCGGCGGCGTCGGCGGGTTGGTCGCCGTGGGCACGCAGGGAGTGACAATGGTGGTGACGGACGCGGACGGTGGCTTGCAGTCGCTCTTGTCGCACTTGCCGAGGACGCACTTGAGACAGGAGAGCTCGATGGACTTGCAGAACTCGACGTACTTGAAGCAGCCGACGGCGCCGGTGAGACCGGCGCTCTTGAAGCACGAAGCCCACTGCAGCTTGCACACGGCGGCCGACTTGATGCAGCCAAGCTTGTCGTGCCAGTCCGGCACCGGGGGAGCGCACCAGTCTCCAATCTGGTACTCGCAGTCCGGGGTCGTGGTGGCGGTGGTTGTGCAGAGCGTCGTGGTGCTGAAGCCCGTAGTCGGCGTGGTTGGCGTCGATGTAATCGGAACAGGCGTGGTTGGGGTGGTTACCGGGACCGTGGAGACGGGAGTGGTGCTCTCTGGAACCGTAGTAGCGGGAATAGTGGTTTCCGGAACCGTGGTGACGGGAGTGGAAGACTCGGGCACAGTCGTGACGGGAGTTGAGGACTCGGGGACCGTGGTAACAGGGGTCGAGGACTCCGGGACAGTTGTGACGGGGGTCGTGACAGGAGTGGAAGAGCCGGGCACCGTGGTAACAGGAGTCGAAGACTCTGGAACCGTGGAAACAGGAGTGGTGGGAGTAGGAGTGCACTGGCTACCGGTAAAGGTGCTCGTGCATGTGACCGGTCCCGTCGGAAGAGGTCCGGTGGGATTAGGTCCGGTTGGCTGCCCAGGTGTGGTAGGAACGGGAGTACACTGGCTACCGGTAAATACGCTTGTACACGTGGTGGGGACAGGGCCGGTCGTCTCGGGCACCGTGGTGACGGGTGTTGAAGACTCGGGAACTGTAGTGGCGGGAGTTGAAGACTCGGGGACCGTGGTGACGGGAGTCGACGACCCGGGAACCGAGGTGGCAGGGGTGGTGGTAGGGGCCGGAGTACACTGGCTACCAGTGAATGTGCTAGTGCACGTGGCCGGGCCCGTGGGAACAGGTCCGGTGGACTGACCAGGCGTTGTGGGGGCGGGTGTGCACTTGCTACCAGTGAATACGCTTGTACACGTGGTAGGAACAGGGCCGGTAGTCCCTGGCACCGTCGTAGCAGGAGTCGAAGACTCGGGCACAGTCGTGACTGGAGTCGAGGACTCGGGGACGGTGGAAACAGGAGTGGTGGTAGGACCAGGAGGACACTGGCTGCCAGTCAACGTGCTTGTACATGTGACTGGTCCTGTTGGGTTAGGTCCGGTAGACTCGCCAGGCATGGTAGGAGTAGGTGTGCACTGGCTGCCAGCCAATACAGTCGTGCATGTGGTGACGGGCGAGGTGGTCGGAACTGGGCCGGTAGTCTCGGGTGTGGTAGACTGTCCAGGCGTGGTGGTAGGTGTAGGAGGACACTGGCTACCAGTCAAGGTGCTCGTACATGTGATGATCGTGGCAGGTCCCGTGGGATTGGGTCCGGTAGACTCGCCGGGCACAGTAGGAGCAGGTGTGCACTGGCTACCAGTCAACACGGTCGTACATGTAGTCACAGGCGTGGTAGTAGGGACCGGGATAGTGGTCTCGGGTCCGGTAGGCTGTCCAGGCGTGGTAGTGGGAACAGGGACAGTGGTCTCGGGTCCGGTAGGCTGTCCGGGCGTGGTAGTAGGAACAGGGACAGAGGTCTCGGGTCCGGTAGGCTGACCAGGCGTGGTTGTGGGCACAGGGACAGAAGTCTCGGGTCCAGTAGGCTGGCCAGGTGTGGTAGTAGGTGTAGGAGGACACTGGCTACCAGTCAAAGTCTTTGTGCATGTAATAATGGTGGCGACCGGGCCCGTGGGATTGGGTCCGGTAGACTGGCCAGGAATTGTAGGAACAGGTCCACAGTCGCTACCAGTTACGACGGTTGTGCAAATTGTAGGCGTGGTAGTAGGAACTGGGCCAGTAGTCTGAGGTCCGGTAGACTGTCCTGGTGTTGTAGTAGGAGCTGGGCCGGTAGTTTCGGGACCAGTGGTCTCGGGGCCGGTGGTCTCGGGCGTCGTGGTAGGAACAGGGCCAGTGGTCTCAGGGCCAGTAGTCTCAGGACCAGTAGTCTCGGGCGTTGTCGTAGGGATAGGGCCGGTAGTCTCGGGTCCAGTAGACTGGTTAGGTGTGGTTGTAGGAGCAGGTGGGCACTGGCTACCAGTCAGTGTTTTGGTGCATGTAATAACCGTGCTGGTAAGAGCTGGGCCTGTAGGAGCCGGGCCCGAAGATCCAACACCAGTAGACTGGCCAGGCATGGTAGTAGGAGCAGGTCCGCAGTCGCTACCGGTTAGCACAGTTGTGCAAGTAGCAGGCGTAGTAGGGACAGGACCGGTGGTCTCGGGGCCGCTGGGGACAGGACCGGTAGTCTCGGGTCCGCTGGGGACAGGACCGCTGGTCTCGGGTCCGCTGGGGACAGGACCGGTAGTCTCGGGGCCAGTAGGCACAGGTCCGGTAGACTGTGGTGGTCCAGTCGATTCGGGTCCAGTTGAGGCTGGGCCGGTAGACTCTGGGCCAGTGGACGCAGGAGGGGTTGACTCGGGTCCAGTGGGCGCCGGGCCAGTTGAGGTAGGAGCAGGTGGACATTGGCTACCAGTCAATATCTTTGTGCATGTAACCACGCTGCTAGGAAGAGCTGGGCCAGAGGTGTAGGGACCAGTGGACTGATTAGGGACTGTAGTGGGAGCAGGTCCACAGTCACTGCCGGTCAAGACAGTTGTGCAAGTAGCTGGCGTGGTAGGAACCGGGCCAGTCGAGACGGGGCCAGTCGATTCGGGGCCAGTTGAAGCCGGGCCGGTAGACTCGGGGCTGGTAGATTCAGGGCCGGTTGAGGCAGGACCAGTGGGCACAGGGCCGGTAGATTCAGGACCGGTTGAAGCAGGGCCGGTAGACTCGGGGCCAGTAGGCACAGGGCCGGTAGACTCGGGGCCAGTAGGCACAGGGCCGGTAGACTCGGGGCCAGTAGGCACAGGGCCGGTAGACTCGGGGCCAGTAGGCACAGGGCCGGTAGACTCGGGGCCAGTAGGCACAGGGCCGGTAGACTCGGGGCCAGTAGGCACAGGGCCGGTAGACTCGGGGCCAGTAGGCACAGGGCCGGTAGACTCGGGGCCAGTAGGCACAGGGCCGGTAGACTCGGGGCCAGTAGGCACAGGGCCGGTAGACTCGGGGCCAGTAGGCACAGGGCCGGTAGACTCGGGGCCAGTAGGCACAGGGCCGGTAGACTCGGGGCCAGTAGGCACAGGGCCGGTAGACTCGGGGCCAGTAGGCACAGGGCCGGTAGACTCGGGGCCAGTAGGCACAGGGCCGGTAGACTCGGGGCCAGTAGGCACAGGGCCGGTAGACTCGGGGCCAGTAGGCACAGGGCCGGTAGACTCGGGGCCAGTAGGCACAGGGCCGGTAGACTCGGGGCCAGTAGGCACAGGGCCGGTAGACTCGGGGCCAGTAGGCACAGGGCCGGTAGACTCGGGGCCAGTAGGCACAGGGCCGGTAGACTCGGGGCCAGTAGGCACAGGGCCGGTAGACTCGGGGCCAGTAGGCACAGGGCCGGTAGACTCGGGGCCAGTAGGCACAGGGCCGGTAGACTCGGGGCCAGTAGGCACAGGGCCGGTAGACTCGGGGCCAGTAGGCACAGGGCCGGTAGACTCGGGGCCAGTAGGCACAGGGCCGGTAGACTCGGGGCCAGTAGGCACAGGGCCGGTAGACTCGGGGCCAGTAGGCACAGGGCCGGTAGACTCGGGGCCAGTAGGCACAGGGCCGGTAGACTCGGGGCCAGTAGGCACAGGGCCGGTAGACTCGGGGCTAGACTCGGGACCTGAAGAAGCAGGTCCGGTAGGCACAGGGCCAGTTGCAGAGGGCGTCACGGTGACAGTGACAGTAGCCGGGGCAGAACACTCGGCCGGCACGCTCGTAAAGGGAAGAGTAGGGACGACGGGATTGCTGGAAGCGGGCACGCTTGATCCGGCAGCGCTGGACGAGCCTGGGGCGGATGCTGCAGACGTGCCGGGGCCGGCAGTAGAGGCAGGGGGTGCGACCGAAGAAGAAACCTGGGGTGGCCCGGGGATGCAAGGGTCCGTAGAAATGAGAGACTTGGCCTCGTACACGGTCAGACGACCGCGGCCGCCGCAAGACACGGAGCCGTCTCCGTGGCAAGGAATATTGCACTGCGAGGCATCGACGCCCTGGGTGGCCGGGTTCAGGAAAGAGCCGCACCAGCATTCACCTGATGTGAAAATGTTAGCACGCAAGATCAGAATTTTTTTAAGCTTGTTTCAAACGATGGAAGCCCTACCTCCAAACTCGGTACCGGCATAGGCGAATCCGTTGGCCTTGCAGGCGGCGATGCACGACGAGGGTGTGAGAGAAGCCGAGTCGACGTTGACGGGCCAGGACAGCGTCCTTCCCTTGTTTGTGTCGTCAGTGTAGCAGCCGATGGCCTTGTAATCGTCATCAGAGACCTCCTCGGGCTTCTTGGGGTAAGTCTTGTCCTCCCAGACGGACAGCGTCGAGTCTCCTCCGCACTTCTGGGCGTTGTTTCCGCTGCAGGGATACGAGCATGAGCCCTCGTCTGCGGACGAGCCGCCGAGGGTGTTGCCGCAGAAGCATATGCCGTAGTACTTGAGGCCGGCGTATCGGAAACCGTTTCCTAGTGCAAAACATGTAAGCGTTTCGTCCCTGTAACACGAACCGTCGGGGAAGCACAGAGGCCAAACACACCCTTACAGACGGCAGCGCACTTGTCAACCGTCATCTGGCCTTGGTCCTGGGTCGAACGCATGATGAGAGCCGAGGGGTTGCCATCTTTGACACAGCCAGCGTATTCAAACGTCTTGCATTCGCGCCCGCAAGGGGGCACCTCGACGTTGTGTGCCAGAGCCACATTGGCGAAGCCTGTGGCTAGCGCGGCCACGATCAGAGACCGCACCATGGCGAGCTATCTAAGAAGAACGAATGTATCAAGGTTCGGGGGGAATGAAGCGAGAGGAATGTGCCCTGTTGGCAAACGTGGAATTATACAGATGAGTTTCCGACAGCCAGAACGCAACCAGAAGGGAATATATATACGCGCCGCGAAAGCACAGCAAAGGGACTCATTTCCATGCTATTCCTTCTTCTAGTAAAAACAATGGCCATGAAATCATCGCACAGACTCGAGCTGCACAGTCTCAGCTCAGTCCATCGACGCCAGCTGCGGTGAGCTCGCAGCGCTGGGCCAGGATACCGACGATGCGGTGGGTGTGATTGGCTCGGTGTTTACCATGTTTATTGCTAAATTGGAAGTTGGAGCGGCTCGGCCTGGGTGCCGATGCTTGCAGCAAAGTCTAAATCCAAGGAAACAGGGCGCGCGATCGATTCAACCCGAACAACGCAGGGCCGGGCCTGAAACAGTAGGTAAGATTGGAAGGATGCAAAGGATTGGGCCAGCGCTCGTGACCTGGCACCCACGATCTGGTGTCGATGCCAGATCCCGGTCCCGAGCTGCAAATATAGCCTCACCGGGCGCCACCAAACTGGCTCTCGGACGCCCGTTCCTCGCCCGTTCCTGTGCCGATTAAGGTTCGCCTGTGGGCCAGGCTGCAGAAATATCCGATGTCCCGGGCGCTGAGACGTCCAAGCTTGGTAAAGAACAGAAAAACCACCAGCTAGTGCGAACGCCTGTTCCTGGCTAGCCAAGGAACGGATCCACGAACCTGACACAGATCTCTTAGCGCACTTGGCACAGTCATCATCAGTCTGCTCGTCAGTCCTACCACTGTTTTATCCTCAGCTTGTGCTCGGCGGATCCGACCGTGCCTTGAGCTCCTTGATGGAGTTGCCATGGCCAGATTTCCATCGTCCGGATCCCTAGTCCAGAGAAAAAGTCTCACCATGCCCAGCGTGCAACTCTGTTCGCTGCGAATGCCAGTTTCATCCAGTACATACAAACCCGTCAAGACGAACAACGGAAACGAACCATACGGTGTCATGAATCGCAGGTGTTTGATACATGTCCGTAGATGAGAATTTGCTGTCGAATATGTCTGGTTCGTGTATTTATAAATTGATCGTGTGTCAGGTCGGCCAAAAAAAATAGAGTTGAGAAGAAGAAGAAGAAAAAAACAGACAACACAAGGCTTGTGTGGTTGTCGACAACCTTCGAGCCCTCGAGTCCAACTCTATTGTATAATTCGCGCAGAATACGACCTCAACATCCTCCTGCGTCACCCAAATGCGGCCATTGGCTCTGACCCTGGTCCTTGGACTGGCCTCGGCCGCCGTCCAAGGAAACTTTGAGCCACTCCATGGCGGCATTCTCCAGGAGAGAACGTTGGGCCTTGATGAGATCCTCGGGGATATTTCTTCCGGCGGGCTCGGAGGGCTAAAAGCTCAAAAGATTGCGTTCTTGTGCAAGTTGGTGGACAAGGCCGAGAGCATTGCCGGATTTGTTGGTGGGTTGACGCTTGAGAGCCACTTGAAGAAGAAGCTGGAGTTTTTCCTCAAGGACAAGTGCAAGGTGAGTCCCTTTTCCATGGCGCAGATATCAACTCAAGACCGGGAGCTAAAGTGTGTGACGCATCCGTAAAAACAGAAAACCACAGAGACTCAGCCACCACCATCAACTTCTGTGCCGCCGCCCGAATCCCAAACTTCTCCTCCAGAGACGTCATCACCAAGTACACCTCCCCCAGAGACAAAGACTACTCCCCCAGAGACAGAGACTACGCCACCAGAGACAAAGACGACTCCTCCAGAGACAAAGACGAGCCCTCCTCCGGAAACAACACCGCCCAAGGAAACATCACCTCCCCCGACACCACCCAAGGAGACCACCCCTACCCCGGGGACGACGCCTCCCAAAGAAACTTCTCCCCCGGCACCGCCTACAGAAACCACCCCTACCCCGGGAACTACGCCTCCCAAGGAAACTTCTCCCCCAGCTACAACTCCCGAGACAGAGACGAGCCCTCCTCCGGGAACAACACCGCCTGAGGAAACGTCTCCCCCAACACCACCCAAGGAGACCACCCCTACTACTACCCCGGGAACAACGCCTCCCAAGGAAACGTCTCCTCCTCCGGAAAGTACAGCTCCCAACGAGACCACCCCTGCCCCGGGAACAACGCCTCCAAAAGGCCCAGAGAGCAGCTTTACCACCAAGACAACACCCAATAACAGCCCTCCCCCGGTCACGCTGCCGCCACCCACACCAACCGTCACAGAATGCATCGACGTCACCACTGCCATTCCCCCGTGCGCCACCGGCTGCTTCTCCTCGGCTGGCTCCCAGGTTGGATGCAATGACCAGGAATTTGGGTGCTTCTGCAAACCCGGCTCGCAGGAACAATTGTCCAAGCTTGTCGGACAGTGTGTCTCGACCGCCTGTCCGCCCGAGTCTGCCACTTCCGTCAGCATAGGCGTCAGCTCAGTGTGCTCCTGCTTCCCCAACCCGCCCTTTCCAACAAACACCGGAGTGCCTCCTACACCATGCACTCCGGGGAGCGGCGGCGATTGCACCCAGACCGAGCCTCGGCCCGAGCCCTCTACCCCAGGTGTCCCTCCTCCGGGTTGTACTGGCGGTGACGGCGACTGCAGTGGAAGTCCCCCCAGCCCAGGTGTCACAACGACCCCTTCGCAGGGAATTCCGTGCCCTATTGGGAATGGCACCGGAGTCGACTGTACCAGACCGACTTCGCCTCCAGTCGTGACGGCTGCAGCAGACAGGTTCGGTTTCGGCCTTGCTGGGTGCGTCCTGGGAGGCGCCGCGTGGCTCGCTCTAGCTCTGTAGAGCGACTGCTGGGCATGTCATCCGAGTCCTGGAGGCTCATGTAATTAATTCAACGGTATGCCGAGTGCTTCTTCTCTTTTTGCTAGTTACCACATAGAGGCTTTGTAGACGAGCCAAAATGATAGAATTTGTTGTTCTCGTGAATCAACTCTGGCTATATCCCCTGAACCCTCCCAGGGCGCGCAAAGATTTTGGTTGCTGAGCTGCGGCAATACATCTGTGCACTTGAACTTGCCGGGCCACGTTGCCCCTGCAGTCGGGCGGACAGTAGAAGTTTGCAAAAGACAGCTGCCTGGTTTGTAGCCGTCGGCAATGTTCACATGGTTGCTGCGTTGGTTGTTGTGGCGTTTTTTTTTTTTTTTTCCCTTCTTTTTCGCCACACAGCTCAGTTGCCCAGAGTTACATCGACTTGGATAGCATGGGTTTCTGCCAATCACTGTCATTGTTGATTTGCATTTGCTTCTCGGCAGAGACAAGCGATGCCGGGGGAAAAGAGACAAGTGGTAGCATTTTGAGGAGTGCATGGCCACAAACTCGGCTACCGTACGTCGGCATATGTTGCTGCTAGCTTGCTGATATGAGGCCGTCTTCAAGTATCTGACAAGTCCAGGGCCGAATACTTTTAGCAAATAGTTGATAAACAAAGTGGCTTGAGCAACTCACTTGCAAATGTATCGTGAACCTCGTGAATCGTGGTGGATTGATGCCAAAGCCTGTCCACTACAGGCAAGCCCCAGAGGGCTAAACGAAAGAGAGATTGGAGAAATTTGATCCGAATGTAGCCGTTGATGGTCCAAGCCCAGCCTTTTCCGCCTTCTCTACGCATTGGTCGACATGTCGTTGGCATTTCGTTTCCAGTGCCACGAATCCCTGCACAAGTCGCCAAATCGAGTGGCGGCAAAAACGATGGCCATGACAGGAATCAGGAGGCACGTGTAGCTACCCACGAGCGACATCTGGGCAAGGTCAGGATTGTCTTGCAAGGTATTTAGGGTAGGAGATGTGGTGGGATGTGCGACTGGATTCCTCGCACGCCGCGGGGCGGGAGCTGTGGCCCATGTCACGTGAGCGTCCGGCATGGCACCGCCCCGCTCCGTCCGTCCGTCCGTCTCCACAGACGCGGCCATCAATCGCGAGGCTGAAAGCTGCCTCGCTTGGTGATGGGCAAGTGGGGCTCATCAATTTGTTGTGCGTTGCCCGGTGCCAGCCCTGTCAATTGTGAAGTCAAGGGGGCATTTTTGCTGGGGCCTGCTCCAACCCCCTTTCATCAACGTCGGTACCAGGGCTCATCAACCTTGACGTCAACCTCGGACTGCTCGTGGTCCTTTTCTTGTCTTTACATCTCTTCATCCCACGCGCTCTGCAGTCATGAAGAACAAGCCGGACCTCGAGGGTGACATCACCTACATCAAGACGCCCAAGGCGGCGCCGTCTGCCTTTGAGGCGGTTGATTGTGGCGTGCCCATCACTCACGTAAATTTCCTTCCAGACTCCCCGTCCCTGCCCGCGAAACCACCTCAATTGCCCCTGTGCTAACTGCAATTGAAGTCTCCTACCATTCACAATGCTCCTCTGCCGGCCGAGGGCGCGGGGAGTGAGAGCTTCTCCAACATTGTCCTGGGAGTCCTCCTGGTGGGCGTGCCCTACTTCCTGAGCCGCCTGGTGGGCGGCGGCTTCAAGACGACCGTCTTCTTTGGCATTCTCGCGCTTTTCCCCATTCTCATTGCCTACTGGACCTACACGTCCAACTTTAGCCCGCGCATCAATGAGCGTGTCAAGCTGCCCGGCCGCCCCGTTGAGTCGTACGTGACCTTCAAGGACGCCGCAGACCAGGCCAAGTGGAGCGGAGCCAACAAAGTGCCCATCCAGACCTTTTCGGAAATGTACATTGACGGCAAGGCTGACTTCAAAGGCGACGTCTTGGACGTGCTGGAGTACCGCCACGACTGGTCCAAGTTTAGCTTCACCTGGGATCTCTTCAAGTACATCTTGCTCACCTTTGGGCCCGACGTGCTCTTTCACACCAAGGACCAGGACATGGAGCAGATCCGCCCCAACTACGATTCCGGAAATGACCACTACGCCTGGTTCCTCGGCCCCCGCATGATTTACACCAGCGGCATCATCTCGGACACGACCCGTGAGGAAACGCTGGAGGAGCTCCAGGACAACAAAATGGCCATTGTGTGCGAGAAGCTCGAGCTTAAGGAGGGCGAGACCCTTTTGGACATTGGATCGGGCTGGGGCACTCTGGCCAAGTTTGCCAGTGTAAACTACGGAGCAAAGGTTACCGGCATCACCATTGCCGAGAACGGCGCCGCCTGGGGCAACGACGTGCTGAGAAACGCGGGCGTCCCCGAGGAGCAGAGCCGAATTCTGTGCATGGACTACCGGGACGCCCCCAAGCAAAAGTACAACAAGATCTCGCAGCTCGAAATGGGTGAGCACGTCGGAGTTCGAAAGCTCACCACCTTTTTCCGCCAGTGCTATGACATGCTCGAGGATGACGGCGCCATGTACGTCCAGCTCTCTGGCCTCCGACAGGCTTGGCAGTACGAGGACTTTATCTGGGGCTTGTTCCTCAACAAGTACATCTTCCGCGGCGCCGATGCCTCGACACCCCTGTGGAACTACGTCCGGTCGCTTGAGAGTGCCGGCTTCGAGGTTAAGAGGTTCGTGACGCCCCATCTTGTCGGCAAACTTGAGAGGCAAACAAAAACTCACCGAAAAAAAAAATTGCAGCGTGGATACCGTCGGCGTGCACTATTCCGCCACTCTCTGGCGTTGGTACCGCAACTGGGTAGGAAACGGCGATGCCATCAGGGCCAAGTACGGCCAACGCTGGTACAGAGTATGTTGACCCCTTGCCAAAATTTTAGTCTCTAGATGGAGCGACTGACAGGAGTGCAGATCTGGGAGCTTTTCCTCGCTTGGTCCGTCATTGCCTCCCGCCAGGGAAGTGCCACGTGCTTCCAGATTCTTGTTGTGAAGAACCTCAACTCGGTCCACCGCATCAACGGTGTCGGATCACAATTCGGCCTGTCTGGAGCTTTGGCGGCGAGCCGTGCAGCTGGCAAGGCGTCTCTCCCCAAGTAAGATTTGAAAGTCAGATTAACGCCCTTGGCATGGCTCAGTTGACCAGATGCCGTGCAACAAGCTTGGTCTAGCTCTTTTCTCTTACTTTTTTTATACGTCTTCTTTTTTTTTTTTTTTTTATAAAAAGAGCCAAAGAAAAAGAAATCGTCGGGGGCAAGGCCATGGGTCTCGCGTGAGATGAACGAAATGAGGAAAATGAAAATATAGAGCTATCTGGATGCTTTCAAAATTTAATAAAAGTGTACTAGTCTCAGCTACATTCATGATGGGAGATTCATTTCATTATATAGACTGAGATGGCGCAAAGGGGCGCGCAACAACGGTGCATCGCGACTGGCGCACCGGCAATCTAAGCTATAATATTTCCCTCAACCACGCCTTGATCTTTTTGCCCTGCAGTGTTTCTGTATTGTCCCCGACATAAATGTTGTACACGGGAGCAACATGGGCTTCGCGGTGTCCTATAAACAGTTCCACGTTGGGCAGGGCGGCCTAGTACCGATGTTAGCCTAGGGAACTATTTTTTTTTTCTTTGACGAGCAAAATCAACATACCTTGAGCTTCTCTGCCAGGTCCTCAATCGCAGGCAGCAAGACTTCATTGCCGCCGGCCAGTATCAGCACCCGCCTGACGGGGAAAGCCGCGAGCCAGCTCTGGGGCGCAGCCGACGCGCTCGTAAAGTAGTCCTTGTCGGCGCCGCCCAGGAACGTTCCGGACCAGGGCTTGTCGACGGCGGGCGTGATCAGGTCGCCGCCGTGGTAAATCTCCCGGTCGGCGTGGGACTCGCCGATCAGGGTCCAGGGCGCAATGCCAACCGCGCCCGCGAGCGGCTCGTCCATCTCGAGCCTGCGGATGGCCGGGTGCCCGTGGGCGAGGTGAGACAGCACGCCCATGAGCAGGTTCCCGCCTGCAGAATCACCGCCGACGAGCACCTGCGACGGCTTCCGCCCCGTCTCGTCGAGGATGTAGCGCAGCGCCTCGACGCCCTGCGTGAGCTGCGTAGGGTACGTCGCGCCCGGGGCCAGCGAGTACGTCAGCACGAAGACGGCCAGGTCCTGGCCCGACTTTTGCGACGACGTCACCAGGCTCTGCAGGAACTTGAAGTATCCCAGGTTTGCGGGCAGACAGAAGCCGCCGCCTTTGTTGCGTCAATGTCAGCCATTGGTTCGTTTGGGTAATGACGGCCGCCCATAAGAGAAACGACGGGGGAAAGAAAGAAAAGAAAACAGGGGAATAAATGTACCGTGGTACCAAATCAGGACGTTTGCCGCGTCTTTATTCCCAACCCAGTGGCCGCGGGCGCCGGCTCCCAGGGCTACAGTCTCGGGCTTGATGTTGGCGGAGCGAGCATACTGCTCGTACACGACGTCGGTCAAGGGCGAGATGAATCTTGGAGCGAGTGAGACCATTGACCATTGTGCGGGTACGTAGAGGGGGATGGGCGGGCCTACTGCAGTTGAAGAGGCGTGAGTCTGGCCGTGGCCTTGCGCAAAACGGCGTACGCAATGTGAAGATGCAGGCTGGGCGCGTCTTTTTGGCCCCGGAACAGACCGGTAAACACGGCGAGCAGGCCGGCTGCAACAACCGAGACAAGACCGGGAAGCAGATCGAGCATGCCCAAGGTGGACAGCTTTGCCGTGTTGGACGGCGTGTTGGACGGCGTGCTGGACGGCATGCTTGAATTTGCACTCTTGCTTTCAATGCTGTTGAGGTGATGATTTTGCAACGCGTAGTGAAGGTTTTCGGCCAGCTAGTCTAGCCGGGCCTCCCAGATTACGTGGCCCTTCTAGACTACGGATCCGTTGACACCATTCAAATTTGTTTCGCAAGTCTGGACGGGGCCAATGGGATATTGTGTCCGCCGCAAGGGCCTCGCACGCCATGGTTTGTTCCAATCAGCAAGAGACCAGTTGACATTTGACGAGGGGCCAAAAAAGGGCGTAGTCTCCGTACCTCGGCATCATGGGTGGTTCCGCGGCTCCGTCGGGGGTCCCCGCAGGACTACGGCAGTCCGGGCATCACGCCAAACGGACCGGATGAATCGTTTTTCTCTCTGATTGGTCAATTTCAGGGTAGTTAAGGTTGGATGGCAGCCAAAAGCCAAAGAGTACGAGAGACATTTGGATGCGGTTGCCGCACCTTTCCTCCATGGTCCCATGTCTTGGATCAACATCTTGACTATCATGCCGGCTCTTGACTATCATGCCGGCAACTGTCGAATGCCGCATGGCCAATGCCAGGAATTCCGGGGTAACAGCTGTCCCAGAATCGTTGGCTTCACAGTTGCTGTCTGTGGAAGCCAAGAGTTGGTCGGCCGTCTCGGGCTTGAAGCGTACCGACTTGCGGCTCAACCCGTTTGTTCCTACTCGGTTGATTTGGGCTGGCCCGCTGGACAAGTCAGATTGGCAATGGCATTCGACAAAAGACCGCATGGTCTGCCTAGGCATTAATACCAAGGCATGGGTATAGCTCGACGTGTTGAATGTGTTGGCATGTTCAATGTAGTTGTATTGATGTGGTCCAACCTGCAGGTTGGGCAACTACCTCACTCAGGTGCTAGACTGCCCGTATCGTTATCCCCACGTGACCACTCGCCTATTCCAACACGAACTCACGCAACGCCAATGTATGCTCCCGGGTAGACATTGACGCTTTTGGTTTCGAACCAGGGAAACTCGCCCCAGATGCTCTTTATGGTAAAAAGTACTTTACCGGAATATCATACGCATAATTCTACACCCCCGACTATACTTTGTATTGCCGTGATTGTTGTACCACGAGACCTGCGCCCATGGCCCCGGGGCTACCCTTTCGGGGCACGAGGCTTGGTGCCGATACACGGAGTAAGCTTATACTTTATCGTGCCCTGCGGGGGATTCGCTGACCGTGTCCAAAAGAGCGCCGAGTGACAGAAAATCAAAAGAAAAGAAACGCCTGGTGTTTCCGTCAGTTGGCTCAAGTATAGACAGATTCGACGTCTTCACATCTTTAAACGTGGCAAAGGCGCCTCCGGTAGGCAGGACACCCCTGTCCACACCGTGATGGATCAGGGACGGCATTTTTGGCAATCTTTTTTCATTCAATACTTTGCTACTGTTTGGAGCTCGCAATGAATGCGCGCCTTGTCTATGCCGCGCATTTCTAAAAACTCTACAAACTGCAGCGTGATATTCTCGGCCCCGCAGACAAAATACTCTGTGCACTCGTTGTTCAGGAACAAATCGTCCGGTTCTAGAGGAACCAAGTCGAGCCGAACGTCGTCTTGTTTCTCGCAGTCCGTCGACGTTTCGTGCCCGTCGGGGGGGAGGCTGAGGGTCGTGTGTCTCAGGTTCTTGTTCCGCAGGGCCAGCGAGTCGATGCGCGACTGGAACGGCATGGCCCCCTGGGACGCGTTGATCCACGAGACGGGCCTGCCGGGCTGCTCCTTGGCGGTGAAGTCGAGTATCGACAGCATGGGCGTGGCGCCGATGCCCGTGGAGAAGAGGACCAGGGGCGCGTTTGACAGGTTCTTGGTGTCGAGGAAGATGTGCCCGGCCGGGTGGGACAGCTCGAGGGTGTCGCCAATCATGGCCCTGTCAATGAGATGATTCGACACGGCCCCGGGCGGGGTTGCATACGGACAGGCGTGCTTGTTTCGCCGGCAGTCCGCCGTGCCCCTGTTCCTCTGCACCGTGATGCGGTAGTGGTCCGGGTTTGGCGCCTCGCTCAGCGCGTACTGCCGGATCTGCTTGTGCTCCTTGCCAGAGGTGGCGACGCGGATGGAGACGTACTGGCCCGGCATAAAGGCCGGCAGCGGCTTCTTGTTCCGGGGCTTGAGGTAGAAGGAGACGACGTTTTCGTTGTCGCGGACGCGGTCGACAATGTCAAAGGGCCGCCAGTCGGTCCACGACCCAAACGTCTTGTACAGCTGCTTCTCCCTGGCGATGAACATGTTTGCCAGCATCCAGTATGCGTTGTTCCAGGCCATTTTGGCGTCTGGCGTCATGGACGGGTCCAGGATGCCGGTGAAGGCCTCCAGGAGGTAGGCGCCCATGATTTTGTAGTGATGGGGCTGGACGCCCACGGAGCAGTGTTTCTGGCAGATGCGCTCCATTTTGGGTATCAGCTCGTATATGTGGCTCACGTTGTTGGCAAACTGGATGATTAGCGAGCTCATTGCCTTTGGCTGGAGCTTGTTGAGCTGGTTGGCAGTGTTGAAGTAGCTCCGGAGCTCGGGGTGGCCGCGCAACAGGCTTTGGTAGAAGGATGCAATGATTTCTTCTCCGCGAGCGTTGAGCGCCGGCACCGTTGCGCGAATCTTTTGGCATTGTGAGTAGGTTAGCGCCATGGTCGACAGAGCGGACCGATGGGCGACGTTGGAGGGGGGGGAAAAAAAGGAGAGGAGCTGGAAGAAAGAGACAAATCCCCGGCGAGATATCACAGACTTGGGTTATCACGACCCTTGACACTTGGACGGAGCTCGAAATGGAGAGGGTGAGCGGTGAATAATAGCAGCCTTCAATTATTGGATTGCTATCATTGATATTTATCCTTTTTGGTATCCCATGAAAAAGAAGGAAAAAAAGGAAAAAAAAAAAAAACCACAATGCTTACACTACCCCGGCATTTTAATTTTGACATGACTGCCAATTCTCGCGTCGCCTTCAGCGTCGCCATTTGTACCCACTCGGCATCGTACGAGTCTGTGTCCCGTGATTTCCGGCGGCAACAGGTGATTTGCAGGACCGAAATTACGTCATGAGAAGAATCAGTCGATCCTCAAGGCGAATAACTTGCCGCCTCGGGTGCTTTTCCCCAACTCCTTTCTTTTTTTTTTTTGCTTTTGACCCGGCTTGGCCGCTGGCCCACGCAAGACCATGGAGCGGTCCGCAACGTGGCAAGTCGCCGTTCCACAAGCGCATCCATCGAGGGCTTTGAGATGCTCTCGAATTTACCCGGCTTGAGATTCATAGGCCAGTAGTGCCCCATCGGTGCTGTTGCCGGTGCCGCTTGCCGTCCGTGGGGGATTATATCTGCTGCAGCCGTTTTCGTCACTCGTTTCATGACCAAAACTTTAACGCCATGGAGGGGATTTTCTCTTTGGCGCTCTTGGCATTCTTGATGTTGGGAAAACAATCAATCGCAATATACGAAGTGATGGGGGGTCCGTGCCACTGTCAAACGCTACCGAGCACTCCGGACATCTGGGCTCTGTAATGTTGATATTCATCAGAAGCGTCTTTGGAGCCAAGACTTTATTTTTACGTCAATGCCACGGCCCTCAGAATGCTTGGGTAGACTCGCATGGAACTTTCGGTGCTCGCTTAGCACCGGTCAATTGTGTACCAAGCATTATTCCGTACCAGACTCTTGCTAGCCAAGCTTTGTCCCCGGCTTGAAAGCCGCCGATGCGGAGGTGCAAAAAGGCCCTGTCAAGTTAAATTACCGGGAACAAGTTTGCTTCACCCCATCCGAAAAAGGTCCACAAGTTGGCGTGGGATTTGCAAACCCCGGATGGGTTTTCTGGCTTCTGGACTCTCTGTCGCACCCAACGTCGGGCAAAGAGCTGCAGCATCGCGGGCGGCAAAACGCGTCAACAGGTAAAAAGTCTGGTTTCTCGCTACCAACTACAGCTAACCGAGTTATCACAACCCGGTCCCTGACGTTAAGGCCGCAATGTGTTCATAAAGTGACAGCCTCTTCCAAAGGCTTGGCCCTTGAGGTGGTGTTTGGCGTTGTGCGTTCTCTCGAAACCGGCCGCAATGCGCTCAGCTGGCTTGAAAAGGGGAAACCGTCTCTCCGGCCTGCAAAATGTCTCCATGCCTTGATATCACTGGCAAATAATTAGACGTTGTGGTGTCGAGTACAATAATAGTAACGTGGGCGCACTTGGCTGCCGCAAAGTTGTGCCGTGGCCAGTGGCGACAGCGGTTATGCCGTGCGTCGCCAAGATGAATGACATGCGAGCCCCGGTAAATATCGTTGCTTGACGAGGCAAACGAAAGAGACTCTGTGTCATGCAACCTGGGCAGCCTAGTCAAGATATTTACCAAGCGGCTACTTTGAAGTTTGTACCGAGTACGAGACTAGTTCCATACCAAGACAGATCAGGATCCACACGTGGGCAGCCTCGAATTTCACTTCTTCCACGTCATGTTGCAATGTAGCCCTTTACAGCAGCCCGGCCTTGCGGAGATGCAACAACTTGCCATGAGACATGGTACGCCGCCGTCTTCAATTTCACGAGATCCAAGCAGACTCTGTCGAAAGACAGGGGCGGCTGCACTGCAGATGTGGCTACTCATGCCATGCAGTAGCGTGCGTGCGGCCCTATTGTCAAGACGGCACGGCCACGATGTGCAATTTACCCGCAAGAGAAACAAGAAGAAACCTCTTGTCCGCCAAGCTCAACTCCTCCCATGGATGGGACGGGAAGCGATTTGTTTCGCGTACTTGTATCGTGGCTCAGACGGGCACGCCAATCGCACACTGCCCAAAACGCCTTCACCATCGCCAGCGGCGCCCGGCTCCAACGTGGCTTGACCATGGCAACCGCCAAATGCAGATCTGCGAATCGGGCCCCGGTAGCTGTCATCTCGGCTGCATTTAGGCAGGCCAAGGTTTTGAAGGGCCAGCCACGCTGCAACGTCGAGGCACGAAACCGGCCTAGCACTGGTCATATTCGCCCCCATGATG